GGGTAATCGTTTTGAAAAGGTCTCATAAGGACAATGAATGTGTGTGGTGCTATTGTTGTTGCAAGCGCTGCTTGGAGGGAGGGTCTCTCAGACCTTGTCGGAGGGAGCGCGACTGCCAGACACCTCTGCTTTTTATGGTGGTTAAAAGGTCTCACAAGGACGATCGATAGTATATGATTGTCTCTTTTGGATGTTAGGGGTGGTCTCACGGGGATGGTGGGACGTGCTTTCTCATTGTTTTTCGTGGTGCTTGTCATTCTTAGTGGTGGTTGCAAGGTGGATGGGGGGGGGAGATTAGGGAGGGAGCGCGACTGCCACGCACATCTGATCTTCATGACGTTTAAGGGCCTCACAGGGGACCAGTCCTATCATCTTGATTGTTGTGAGGTTTGTCGGGTTCCCAGAGGTATGGTGGACCCAGAACGCGGTCTTATTGTGTGTGATTGTTGCTCTGCTTCTGAAGAAGGAAAAGGATCGGGGAAAGGACGCGCACACCGAACACCGTGAATGTGTCCTATTTTTGAAGGCCCCACACATATTTCAGGTATCTCCTTGGTTCTATGTGCGTTTATGCGGGGCTCCACGGGGGTGGTGGTCCCAAAGCGGCTTCGTATTCTCTAAAATTGTAGATTGCCTCGGTGATCTTACTTGTAGGGGCGAGAGAAGGAGACTGGGGAGAGAGCGCGAATGCCGAACACCTCTGATTTATAACTTTCTCTGGGGCCCCACCTCTATTATCTTCTTGTTGTTTGGTTTCTAAAAAAATGCGGGCTCGCACAGGGTTGGTCCCAAGGCGATGTAATATTAACTGTTGTGTAATAGGTTAGGCGTGGTTTACAGTGTAAGGGAGAGGGAGCAAATATTGAGGAGGGAGCGCGGATGCCGAACACCTTTGATGTTTAAGGTTGTCGATGCCCTAAAAGGATTAGTTTCATGTGTCGCGTGGTCTCTACGGGTCTCACAGGGATGGTGGTCCCAATATGGTTTGTTACTATGATTCTTGATTGTCGGGCTTCTCGTTGATCCTGCTTGCAAGGAAGAGGGAACGAGATCGGGGAGGGAACGTGAATCCCGAACACCTGTATATTCAAACGTGTGTAAGGGTCTCACGAAACATACGGTTTTAAACACACAATGAAAGAGGACGTGCCCTGGAAATCTCACAAGGATTGTGATCCCAAGGCGTTTCTTTTTCATTGTGTTTAACCGTGCAATTTCTAAAACTTCTTTTACCCAACCATCCTGTGGTATTGGGCCCTCGTTTTGAAGAAGCGGTCCTCCTCCCGTGCCCCCCCCCCCAGTGGGGGTACCACATGCATCTGCCACACCCAGTACAGCGTTTCGTGGCCCCATAGGGAGCTCCACGTAAGGCCCCAGTGGGGGGTACCACATGCGCCTGCCACACCCAGTACAACGTTTCGTTGCCCAATAGGGAGCTCCACGTACGGCCCCACTGGGGGGTACCACATGCGCCTGCCACACCCAATACAGCGCTTCGTGGCCCCATAGGGAGCTCCACGTACGGCCCCACTGGGGGGTACCACATGCGTCTGCCACACCCAGTGCAGCGTTTCGTGGCCCCATAGGGAGCTCCACGTACGGCCCCAATGGGGGGTACCACATGCGTCCGCCACACCCAATGCAACGCGGCGTGGCCCCATAGGGAGCTCCACGTAAGGCCCCAATACGGGTACCACATGCGTCCGCCACACCCAATACAGAGTTGCGTGGCAACTCCACGTAAGGCCCCAGTGGGGGTACCACATGCGCCCGCTACACCCAGTGCAGCGCTTCGTTGCCCCATTGTGAGCTCCACGCAAGGCCCCAATGGGGGTACCACATGCGTCCGCCACGCACGCCCAATACAGCGCTGGTCCCAGGGGAGCCCCACCCAAGGCCCCAATAAGGGTGGCCACATGCGTCCGCCACACCCAATACAACGTTTCGTGGCCAGTGGGGCCGTCCGCATGCGCCCCGCACACCCATTTTGGCATTTCCGCCCACCCAGTACAGCGCTTCATGGCCACATAGGGAGCTACACGTAAGGCCCCAGTGGGGGTACCACACGCGTCCGCCACACCCAGTACAGAGTTGCGTGGCAACTCCACGTAAGGCCCCAGTGGGGGTACCACATGCGCCCGCTACACCCAGTGCAGCACTTCGTGGCCCCATTGTGAGCTCCACGCAAGGCCCCAGTGGGGGTACCACATGCGCCCGCCACACCCAGTACAGCGCTTCGTGGCCCCAGGGGGAGCCCCACCCAAGGCCCCAGTAGGGGTGGCCACATGCGTCCGCCACACCCAATACAACGTTTCGTGGCCAATGGGACCGTCCGCATGCGTCCCGCACACCCAATTTGGCATGTCCACCCACCCAGTACAGCGCTTCGTGGCCCCATAAGGAGCTGCACCGAAGCCCCCAATGGGACCGCCCGCATGCGTCCCGCACGCGCAATTTGACAGTTTCACCCGCCCAATACAACGCTTCGTGGCCCCAAGGAGGGGCTCCACTGACGCCCCCAATGGGACCGCCCACATGCGTACCACACACCCACTTTGGCAATTCCACCCACACAATACAACGTGTCGTGGCCCCAGGTGAAACTCCACAAACACCCCCAGTGGGACCGTCCGCATGCGTCCCGCACACCCAATTTGGCATTTTCACAAACCCAGCATAACGCTTCGTGGCGCCATTAGGAGCTCCACCAACGGCTCCAATGGGACCGCCCGCATGCGTCACACACCCAATTTGGCATTTTCATCCACCCAATACAGCGCTTCGTGGCACCATAGGGAGCTCCACCGACGGCCCCAGTGCTACCGCCCGCATGCGCTCCCCCCCACCCAGTGCAGCGCTTCGTGGCCACAAAGGGAGCTTCACCGAAGAAGATAATCAGAATTGCGGTGCCCACAACTGCATATGGTTGGGTCCTTCGCCAGGGTAATTCTGCATGGGGAAAGGGCGGAACTACTGAGGAGGGAACACTGACGCTAAAACCTAGAATATCTTGTGTAGGACTGAGATTATTATTATTGATGTCTGGTGATTTCAAATGTTCTGGGTGGTCTCACAGGGTTGGTTGTCCCAAGACGTGTCCTCGCTGTTTTTTTACGTGTAGGTTCCATTGTTGGTTTTGATTGTAAGATGTCCCTGCGTTTGTTTTGCGTTGGGTTTCAGTAGTGTTCTGCGTTGTACTGGTTTCTGATCGTTTTCATGTGTCAGGTTATCTTATTGCTTTTGATTGTAAGATGTTCGTGTTACCTGTGGTTGTATTGTTGTGTAAATATGTTCGGATGTACAGTTGCCATGCTGCTTTCAATTGCAGACGCCCTTGCAACAACATTGCGTTCACAACTACATCAAACTATGCATTCACCTCTTCGTTTGCAACCCCCGGGCTTGCATTTGTGAAGATGGGGTCCCTGTGGGGGACTACAACATAATATATATATATATACATATGTATATATACACATACACACATACGCATAATATGGGAAGAATGGGCTACCCTCACGTACATACCTGGATATATACATGTATACGAAAATATGGAGGCATCAAGATGCGTCAAGCAAACGTTAGCACTCGGACCCTTTTCGTGTTTTCTTCTCAGGCAATCTCTCCATCCGCACTCGCCGTAGGCGCTCTCGGCCAGCGGGCCAAGCCTTGGCCGGGGCTGATCTCGGCCTGTAGGGGCCTCCATCCCTTCCTGGAAACCAGGGACGCGTGGGGCAGTGCTTGCACTCGGGGTTTATTCCCTCTCTTCTAAGGATGAAGGGGAATTGGGACACACGAATAAATACACACAAATAAAAATATCCCCCACATTTTCCCATATCTTCTGGGTTTTTGTCTTCCCCCCCACTTCCCATATTTTCCCATATTTTCTGGGGAATCGCCGATGAATTGTGTCTGTGTGTTTTTTCCCCTCCTGAAAGGAACTGGCCCCGTCGACGGCCCTGGCGGCCCCGTTCCCGTCCGTCGCCGCCGCCCGGCTGCCCCATCCAACCCTTTGCATGGCAATTGCGTCACACTGCATTTGCATCGCATTGCATTGAGAGAATCCTGCGTTGCAGTCGCATTGCGTTGCAGTCGCATTGCGCTGCAATCACGTTGCGTGGCAACTGCTTTTCAAGATCGGGTTGCTTTGCGTTGCCTCGCATCGCATTGCACTGTTTGGAATTAGTGTACATTGCTTACCATTGCTTCGCTTGGCCTTGAATCGCCTTACATTGCCTTCCATTGCTTGGCCTTGCTTGGCGTTGCTGTGCCTGGTTTTGCGCCACAAAAATTGCACCACATGGTTGGCTCTTCCCAGAATACGCTACAGTGATTGCACCACATAGATTGCACCGCATGAGCTGCAAGGGATTAGTGCTTGTTGTCCACATTGGCTAGCATTGGCCCTAGGACACGTTCTAAATGCGCCTACACGCGGCTCCGCTGGCGGCTTCGCCTGGCCGAAAGATGAACAGGAACAGCAAAACAGCGTGAGCCCACCGTGCCAGCAGTCTTGTTCAGGCGGGCCCACCTGCCTGTTGCGAAGCCGGTGGTGCCTTACCGTAGTGCCACCAGGGGGGTGACACTGGCCAAGCGGGAAGCACGTTGTGGAACGCTGCGGCCCACTTCTGCACCACAGCCTTTCGATGGGTCCGACATGATATCGTGACGACCATCGGGTTCATTTGCTAATGGTTCCCCTTCCAGCGCCAGAGCTAAACACCTAACCCCGCCAGGCAGCCCAGCAGGATTGCAGTGTCTAGGGCCAGCCACCTCAATTAGCCAGGATAGGGCCGCCAGTGCTTAGCCAGCGGTGTCTCCCTCGATTGCAAGGAAGAAGTCCGAAACGCATCAGTGACATTTTCTCAAAGGAAAGGGAGGACAGGAGGAAGAGAAAAATATCGAAATCCGCTTGTGGCGACACTAATTGCACTCGGTGGCTGGAGGACGGGCAGCAGCAATGAAAAGGACGACGTGGTCTGGAAGGTATGGACGTCCTTGCCCTCGAGATCGAGACTCCGGACGAAGGTGTTCCGGTGCACCTGTCGCAGGCTCCGAAAGAAACAGACAACACATTGGCGACCGTTGGCCGGCCAGAGGGCGCGTCACTGCCATCTGCGGGGCTGATGCGGCGTCCGAGAGCTAGGTTTAGGCGGGAGAAATCGCCGCCGTCGCTTTCGCAGCCTCCGCCGCTGTCGCCTCCGCCGCCGTCGCCATTGCCGCCGCCGCCGTCGCCGCCGCCGACGCCAGACGATAAAAAGGCGGGGAGAAGAAGCCAAGCCAGGTAGGGCTGGCGCTCTTTTTTTTGCACCAGTGCCCGAAGAATCTTGCAAGTGAGGCTGCCCCACAGGCACGAATGTTCGAGTGAGAAATTAAAAGACACCGAAGGCCCATATCGTCTGCCCACAGGGGCCGAGCAGTACGCCAAAAGGCCGTTACTATTACTACTACTACTACTACGACTACGACTACTACTACTACTACTACTACTACTACTACTACTGCTACTACTACTACTACTACTACTACTACTACTACTACTACTACTACTACTACTACTACTACTACTACTACTACTACTACTACTACTACTACTACTACTACTACTACTACTACTACTACTACTACTATTACTACTACTACTACTACTACTACTACTATTACTAATACTACTGCTACTGCTACTGCTACTGCTACTGCTACTGCTACTACTACTACTACTACTACTACTACTTCTCATACTGCTACTACCACTGCTACTACATATACTACTACTACTACTACTACTACTACTACTACTACTACTACTACTGCTACTACTTATGCTACTAACTACTACTGCTACTACTACTCCTGCTCCTATTCCTACTACTACAACTACTACTACTATTACTACTACTACTACTACTACTACTACTACTGCTGCTACTACTACTACTACTACTACTACTACTATTACTACTACTACTACTACTACTACTGCGACTGCTACTTTTTCTACTACTGTTCATACTGATACACCTACGTTCTGCCCGCCTACCTACCTACTTTTCTATCTACCGACCTACTGAGTGCAGGGCACGAGCTACTAACTACGAACTACGAAGAAGCAATGCAACTTTTACGAATCAGCCGCAATCTGGATACTACGATCCACGAAAAGTAGTTTGACTTTGAATGCCGATGCGGCTGCTAGAACTATTTCATTCGTGGCCTACGAGTGCTGAAACTATCACTAGCGTGACGATGTTACGAAACAGCTGTAAGTGCTGGGTCTACGGATGCGAATGCTACGACGGACGCTACAACTGATACGACTGAGCAGAGTGCTGCGAACTCTAACGCTGCTGCATAGGCTCATCCTAGTGCGACTACGACTGCGAATGCTGAAACTAAGCCTCTTCGTATTGCTAACACCAAGCAGCGGGAGACCAAGAGAGGCAAAGAGAGGTGCTGGGAGAAATCGAACGACATTAGAAGACTACGGGAAACAGCGGGAGACAACGGGAGACAACGGATGGCAACGGGAGGTGACGGGAGGCGACGAGAGACGACGGGCGACAACGGGGTCGAACGGTAGACAACTTCGCCTAACCGAACCGACTCCGGGTTCGACGGGCCACATACTAACTTCTTGATTCAGAAATAAAGCCTTTGCAGACAAGCTGTTTAGGCAACTCCGATGTTCCATCTCTCTGGGCCTCGCTCACGCCAGAGTGACCCTGGGTAAGAGTGACCTTTGGTGCGCAGCTTTTGGGGTTCCGCGCGGGGGGGGCAAACACGAGCGCGCAAGACGCTGCTGCCGCATCGCGCTCGGCGGTCGGGGGAGCCCATTGGGCCCGCGCCAAAGTTCACTCCGGCGAAGGGTCACTCTTACGTCTAAACGACTCGCCGCTGACGCACCTGCTCTGACGCCAAGCAGCCGGGATCACTCGCCGCTGACGCACCTTCTTGACTCAGACATAGAACCCTTGCAGACAAGCTGTTTAGGAAACTCCGATGCTCCATCTCTCTGGGGCTCGCCGCCGACGCACCTGCTCTGGCGCCCAGCAGCCGGGATCGCGATGGCGAGATCCGCCCCCGTGGCCCCCCCCCCGGGCACGCCGAGGCGCGGAGGAGTGCCCACTGCTGTCTGGTGGGCAGGGCTTCTGTAGCCTTCTGCGCCTCCCCTTTCGGGGGCGGCCAAGATTTGGACGCCCGAAGTGGGTACTGAAAACAGGGTTACAATGCCCAACATCAAAAGTTGTCCCAGACCAACAGCGGCCGCTGCTGGGCAGGCGGCCTTCTGCCTCAAATGGACACTGGCCGCGGCGGCGCGGACAGCGAGTCCTGTTCAACATGAACAGGAACTGCTGTTGGGCATTGTTGAAGGGGCCCCAGGACACACAAATAAATACACACAAATAAAACGATCCCCCATATTTTCTTATATTTTCTGGGTTTTTGTCTTCGCCCCCACTTCCCATATTTTCCTATATTTTCTGGGGAATCGACGATTAATTGTGTCTGTGTGTTTCTTTTCCTCCTGAAAGAGGGAAGCGTCCAAGAGGGGGGCGCAAGTCACGGCCGGGGGCACGTGCACGGCCCAAGGGGGGCCAGGGAACGCATTGAAAAAAGAGGGGGCGCCACGAAACCTAGGGAGACATAGTGGCCCCCGCCATGATAACCACCCCCCACTAGTCATCACCCCCCTCTTTGCCGCCCCCGACTCTTGCCGCACAGTGGGACGTGCACTGCCTGCCCCTCTCGGCGCCGCAGCTTCTCCGGGGCTCTTCGAAGCGTCCACGGCGGCCAATGCAGGCTACCAGGGTCGCCAAGATAACCCGACACTGGCCTCAAGAGGCACCCACTTAGAAGCCTCCTAGATGGGGTCGGAGTAGATGGGGTCGGAGGATCGCGCCGCATCGCCGATGCATCGGCGATGCATTGGCGATGCATCGGCGATGCATCGGGGATGCACCGGCGACGCATCGCAGACGTCGGCGATGCAGCGGCGACGTCGACGTGAAGCCAATCGGCCTCCACATCGAGTCGCATCGGCGATGCATCGGCGATGCGGCGCGATCCTCCGACCCGATCTGCTCCGACCCCGCCCAGGAGGCCTAGATGCCAGTGGCCGTGCCCTCGAGGCACGAGCCGGAGCGTCCCGGGGCCCCTTAAATACACACAAATAACAGGATTCCCCATAGTTTCCCCAATGTTCTGGGTTTTTGTCTTCCCTCCCACTTCCCGTATTTTCCTATATTTTCTAAGGAATCGGCGATTAATTGTGCCTGTGTGATATTTCCCCTCCTGACCCTTGCTCGACACCCCAGAGTTCTAGTCCTCAAGCCCGTGGACTCTTTAGAAAGGGGCCGCGGCCCGGAATGCACCAGATCTCTCGGGGCCCGGTGCGTGCCTCCTGGGGTCCTGGGGGGATGACCGTGGGGGGTTCTAAGCGGGTAGGGGGGTTACAAGTGGATGCCAAGGCGGGTTATATCTGGCCTAACCTGGATTATGAGTGGGTTACAAGTGCCCCGAGTGGCTTAAGGGGGTTCACGATCCGGGCTAAGTGGGCTCCGACACTTAGCGGAGTTCTCTAACCCCCCTAAGCCAGTGGGGGCACTTGTAACAAACTTATAAGCCAGGTTCGGCCAGATATAACCCACCTTGGCATCCACTTGTAACCCCCCCTGTCCACTTAGAACCCCCCACGGTCATCCCAGTGGGGGAGTGTTCCCACATGACTTTTTTCGGAGCCCAGAGAGCTTCGTCGGCTACACGCAAAAGTGACCCTGGGCAAGAGTGACCTTTGGTGCGCGGCTTCTTGGGGGGCCGCGGGGGAGCCAAACACAAGCCCGCAAGACGCCACTATGATCGGGGGGCACCATTGGGCCCGACCCAAAGGTCACTCCGGCGAAGGGTCACTCTTACATCTAGTCGACCTCAAGCCGAGCCAAGAGGGCCCCAAAAAGGCCGCCCAGACGGTCCAAGAGCGCCCCGAATCGCCGAACGATCGCTTTAAGATACCACAGGTAGCCCGCAGACGGCCCAGGAGGCCCCCAGGACGCTCCAGGGGAGCCCCCATCCCAAGAAGGCACCGAGAGGCGAACACATTGAATTTCATTTGGTTTTTGAAGCTTTTGCTCTCCAAGATGGCCCCAGAGGCCCCCGAGGACGGCCCCAAGACGGCACGGGAGGACCCTGAGAGAGGGCCCCAAGATGGCCCAAGAGGCGCCCAAGACGGCCAAAGGGAGCCCAAGACGGCTCCGAGAGGGGCCAAAGAGGGAGAACACGAACCGAACATCTGAGCCTTTCTCTCCAAGAGGCTTCCAGGAGGCCCCCAGAGACCCCCTAGAGGCCCCAAGAGGCCCCCATGAGATACCAAGAGGTAGCCCTGCCTCCAGGATGCCCCCGCGAGGCCTCGACGAGATCCCAACGAACGTCCAGGAAACTTCAGACACGGTGGCTGGATGGGCCGAGTGCCATTCGATGTTCCGCGCTTCCCAGGCCTCTCGGCTCAAGATGGTGCCAAGAGGGCCTCGGAGGAGCCCACGAGAGGACCAACGAGCCCCACGAGAGCCCCTAGGCGCCCGCCAGGCGGATCAGGGCAGCCTTTTTTCTTCCAGCTCAAAGGGTCCAGATTCGAGCGAAGCGCTAAACTGCATCGGCTCATATCAAGAGCACTGCCTCCGCCCGAGGTTGTACCCAGAGGAGGCTCAACCTACGAAGCCGACGAATCTTCACTGCTGAGATGCGGTCTACGAACAGGGCAGCCCCAGGAGGGCCCCAACAGGACCCGGGAGAGGAGGGCCCCGAGATATGCCCGAGGCAGCTCCGGGAGACTGCCCGGGAGGCCGGGTTGGGGCTCCAGGCGGCCCCAGGCGGCACCGCGACGGCCCAAGACTTGTGGATGCCACGAAAGTGGACACCCTAACAGTCCTATCATTGAATATTAAATGTGTTGAACATGTAGGAAAATGTTCTAAACATGGTTTAGAAATATGTTTAGCACATGTTTAACACATGTTTAAGACATGCTTTAGACATCTGGAAGTTATTTGGCAACATGCTTCCTCTCCATTGATCGTCCTCCACAGCCCAGGACCCCGCCCGAGAGGAGTCCCGGGGCGGCCGCCCCACAGGAGCCACCGACAGCCCCAAGACGGCCCGAGCATCCCCCTTGCGAGCCCATGCTTCGTTTGGGCTTCTCGCCCTGGCGAGCTTCAATTCGCTCCTCGTGCCCCGCGGGGTGGCCCAAACACATCGCCAAGAGGACCCCCAAACCCCCGCGAGAGGGCCACAAGAAGGCCACATGAGAGCCCCAAGAGGCCCCACACGCAGCCTAAGAGCTGTGTCCGAAATTCCAATGTGTGGTGCCAGTATTGTCCCAGATGGCCCAAGCTGGCGCAAGGCAGCCCACTTGACTGCAATCACAGCTCAAGATGGCAGAATAACCTCGCCTCGGAGGCGCCCACGACGCCATAATCATTGAACAGCCACACTATGTTTGATCATGGCGCTCTCTCCCTTGCGGGTCCAATGAGCATCTCAATCCCCGAGGTCGCCTCAAGAGGGCCCCAGGAGAGCCCACAAGAGCCCTAAGAGGTCCCCGATCTCCCACAAGACAGCTCCAAGATGTCTCCAGGAACACATCAAGAGGGCATCAGGATTGCTCGGAGCCAGCGCCAAGCGGCTCCAGGATGTCTCAAAAGTGGCCCAAGTGGTCCAAGACATCCCCAAAGAGGCCACAAATCCTCAGAGGTCTCCAGGAGACCCCCAGAAGCCTCCCGGAGACCTCCAAGCGCCCCAGGGTGCTTTGACAGCCCACACCGGACGTTTGAATTGCCAATTCGTTCTTCTGGACTCGATGGTGAATCGTGGGTGAAAGCGTGATTCCTTGAGTGGTGCGCTCGACCTGCCAAGCAACTACTTCTCCCCGACGCGAGCTTCGCACAACAACTTGGGGAGACTGCCACCACCAAACAGATTCCACATGCCTTCGAGCACACAAGCAACTGGGAAATGTGACGCAGTATGGGCCAAAAGAATGCGCGAAACGATCCGCCGCCCTACCGTGAAACGGCGTGTGAGGTCACCGCCGCATGGGTCTGCCAGGGAGTTGCGCTACTTATTGGGGCCCTCCCTGGTCAGCTTGGACCCCTCTGAAAGCATCTTGGAGTCATCTTCGCTCAGCTGGAAAACCAGAGAAGCCCAACACCGAGTTTAGCCGTCCCGGGCATAACATCTTTGCGCCCCCTGGAGCCCCTCTTGGAGCCTGTCATGGAACCTGTTGGGCCATCTTCGGACATCTTGGAGGACTCGATGGGCCGTCCTGCAGGCTCCTTGGAAACTCGGGCCGTCTGGGCACTTTCTTGGCGTCCTCATGAGACGTCTTGGACGCCCCCTCGAAGATTTGCCCCCCTCATCCACCGCGTTCGACACCTTTGGGTGCACTTGCGGGCTGTGTTGAAACTCTCATCGGGCCCTCCTAGGCTGTCTCTGTCGGTTGCTGGGCCCCGCTTGTGCCGCCTGGGGCTCCCTTTTACGCCCTCTGCTGTTTCCTTTGTCCTCTCCTTCCTTCACGACGGCGTTTCAAAGTGCGTCCGAGGGCTTCAGACCTCACTCCATCTACATCAGTATGGCTGAGTTCCAGAAGCGTGGAGCGGCGATGCCTGCCCAATCAAGGGCGCTCAAGTGAGCAACTGCATCACCGACAAGCTGCCGAATGTCAAAGGGGAAACTCCTGGGCATAGTTGAGCACCCGCCCCCCTCACAGCTTTCAGTTCATAATCGCCACTTGATTGCGACCCCCTTACCCCCCCCGGAGGAGAGGTTGAACGAACGTTGCCGATGCTTTCATGGACGCCTGCCTGCTTAACCAAGGACGCTCAAGCGGGTGCCTGCATGATCGACAAGCTGCCGAAAGCCAAAGGGAAACCTCCTGGGGATAGTTGAGCATCCGCCCCCCTCACGGCTTCCAATTCATAATCGCTACTTGATTGCGCCCCCCCCTTTCTCCCCCCAGAGAGGGGGATGGACGAACGTGCCCGATGCTTTCATTGACGCCAGCCGGCGTAAAGAGGGCGCATCCGTTGCGAGTTGCTGTTGGCCGTTGAGGCGACCCCCGCGGCATGCATGATGAGCTGACAAAAACTGCTGAGCAGGAAAGAAAGAGAGAGACACACAAAAAGAAGAGACGTGGGAAACGCAGAATGGGAACCTGGTCGTCGCGCTCCAGCAGATCAAAGAGCGATTTCATGTTGGTCAGCTGCAGCTGTGCAGTCACGGCAAGCATGTCCGACAAATATGGCTCCTTGAGCAATTTCTCGAAGGACGGCCGTTGTATGTAGCCGTCCTTCCGTGGTCGCTGAACCACCCCAAACAGACAACCGCATGAGAACACAACTGCTGCTGGTCTAGCATCCCATGTTGGGAAGACGTGCGCGCAGGAATGAATTCTCGACGTCAGCGGCACGAGCGAACGCTGGGAACACGCGAGCGTTGGGCAGCTCAGTGGTCCTGAACCGGACTGGGATCTGTGCGTCCCCCAAACATACAGAAGATGGCGGGCTCAGACGAAATCCCCGCCGGCGCCCACCTGATTCAGAGTTAGAAGGGTGCCCGCGGCCAACTCGACCTTTGTGAGGGGGTGGCGAAGACCTTATCTTTAGTTCAGATCCGCGGGGGTGTGGTTCGCAGGTACAGGCTCAAGGCCAAGGGGGGCTGGAACAACCAAAGGAGTAATCTCTATGAGTCAGACCTAACAGTACCCAATTGATTCAGGATTTGACGTTTGTTTGCATTGCGAAGTTGGTTGTTTCTGGGGCTAAGAGGTCTTGCCTGGAACTCCGCAACCAGTCTTCCTATCTGGGACGCCCTGCTCCCTCACGCCACCCACAACCATCAGGCACCACTACACAACCACTCCGAAACTCCCCCGACACTTCAAATCAACCCAACAACAAGAACATGGACATCCCGTCCCAAAGACCTGATACGAATGTTTTTCTGAGAGTCTCGTGTGCCTCGGCAGTGCAGCTTGGACACTTGTTGTTGCACCTGGCGATGGTACGTATGCATGTTAGTCCGTCTGGCGTGCCTGCTACGTACGCTCATCATGCACGTATGCATAACTTGGCGTACACATGTATCAGGAAAACGTAAGACCCGGGTACAGGGGACTCGGAAATCCCCGACGAGATCGTCAAAAAAATGACGAGGCCGAGCCTGCATTTTGACGAGGCCTCCCGCTGCAGACGTCCCACAAAACTCCTCCTCGTCAAAATCCGAGGCGCGGTCGTCAAAAAACGATGGCGAACCCGAATCCTGGCAAACCCGGGTCTTACGCTCCCCCGAATGTATGCATGTATGTATGTACGTATGTATTTATGCATGCACACAAGCATACACACATGGAATTCCTGTTGCCATGCGACCTGCAACTGGCAGATCTGCAGGGTACGCATGGCGATTCGTAGAGCGTCCGCTCGCCGTGGCTGGCCTTGAACAGCACAGTTCACTCATCTTGCCGATGTGTGCTGTGCATGGGGGCTAGTCTAAGTTGTACGCGCCTCGTTATACACATGGTGTCGTTGCATTCGCTGCGCATGCATGTTGGCGAATCGACTCACTACGCGTGCTCATTATGTCGCTGTGTGCACGGGCGTGCGATCGGCGCGCGTTCGGCAAATGTGCCCTTGAATACTGATACAGGTGCAGTCACGCACGCGGCACGTGACTTGTATGGCGAATGCCCTTTCCAATAGTGCATGAAAGGTTGCTTACGAATTATGTTATTGACGCATGGGCTTACACCAAGTTCTGCTGCTTACGTTGGTATGTACGTTGGCAGTGTCTGTTCGTTGCAAGACTCGTCAATGCATGATCCAAGCGTGTACTGACTGTGGACGCTTCGGTACCACGTGCGATACTCACGCCTGTTAGTGTCGAATGTTCATGACGTGTGTCATGTCTGTGACCGGTACGTATTACAAGTGCGCCTGTCGTGTTTTGTTTGCGAGTTGGTGTCGTGCGCACGATCAGCAAAACAGGTTCCTGACTTCTCAGAACGCATGTATATTCTGTATCTCGCTCATCTGGGTAATCTGTAGCTGGTCCTGACATCATTTAGCCGGGACGCGGCGCGAGATACCAAGCGATACTTGGAAACACTTTCGGCCCGGCGGCCGCGGCATGCGGTACCAATTCTGCTTTTTCTTCTCGAGGACGCGAGGCGGGATACTATGGACACTCCGAGACCCATGGGCCCTGGCGGCCGCGGCATGCGGGACAGGCAAACTACCCTGGCCTTGTATCTGACAAAGCGGGTGGCTCGTTGACCACAGGCGTCCTTGTTCGGCTGGATCGCGTCGAGCAGCTCATCCACAATGAGCCGCCTGCGCTTCCTGAGAACCTTGTCGGCCTCCATCTTGTCGCACTCCTTCGTCTCGCGGGTCGAGTTCAACATGTTATCGCTCACCACCGCGGTCAGGGTCGGTAGAATGGTCAGGCACGACAAGGCCATGTAGAGGCAGAGAAACGGCTTGATCCATTCGATGCAAGCCAGCAAGTCCTCGAACGCGGCCATGTGGCCGTTCATGAGCTCGAACAAGATCAACCTTAGGCAGCCCGCCGATACAGAGAGAGTGACGGCCTCCCAGTACATTTCTTTGTTTCTTCCGCCCTGCCTCTTCTCTTCTTCCGATGAGTACTCCATCTTCGTGTTCATGCTCCTCCTGCTCCTCCTCCTCCTATTCCTGATCCTTCCCTCTCATGCCTCCTCAAACTCCTGTTCCGCCCCTTCCCCTCCCGCCTCCCCCCACACCTCCTCCTTCCCCCTGTGCCTCCTCTCTTCCCGTTCCAGGTCTACTCCCTCTTCATCCGCTCTGCTTCCTCCTCCGTCCTTTCCTTCGCCTCCCATTTTCCCCTTCCTCCGAGCTGGTCCACGGCCAGGTCCGTCCGGACCCACCCGACCTGGTCCAACGCGAAGCGAGCAGAACCCCATCCAGCCCAGCCCTCCGACCTGAGCCCCAACACTTCTCGAACCAGCCGCCTGCTTTTCGTCCCAAGCAATCGTTTGACCACCGCGTGGCCCGAAAACGGCCGGCGGAGGCCGGACATGTTGACCAGCCTCAGGCTCGATAGTTCCGGGCCGCGAAGAGGCCAGGATTAGGTCGGGCATGCCCTCCTACAGGCGGATGTTGGACGGACAAAAATTCGCTGGCCCAACGGGCCAAGGGCGTGCTAAGATCTCTGGTGACTGGTTAATAAAATTCTAGTTCGCGCGCGCGGGGCCGCCCCTGGGGTCCCTGGACAAAAAATACCCCAGCAAGGTCCTGGCAAGGTCCCGGCAAGTCTTGGCAAGGTCCTGGCAAGTCCCGGCAAGATCCAGGGCAGGTCCCGGGCAGGTCCAGGCCAGGTCCCAGCAGACTCCGAAGAGCGTTCCAGGAGCGCTTCAAGTGGCCTCCAAGAAAGCTCAACATGGTCCGAGACGGCCCAAGAGCGATCCAAGAGGCCATCAAAGCGCCTGCAAGACGTCCCCAGAGGCCTCCAAGAGACCTCCCAAGAGGGCCCACAGAGGCAGAAATTATTGATGTTGTAAAAGTTTTTGAACGTTTTTGGCGTTCTCGCCTTGGGGGCTTACCAGCGCTCCAAGACTGTCCAAGAGGCTTCCAGGATCGCCCCAGCCCAGCCCAAAAGGCTGGCCTCCAAGAGCAACCGAAACGGCCCCAGAGGGCCCCAAGACAGCCCCAGAGGCCTCCAACCAAGATGGCCGAAGAGGCTCCCAAGACAGCTCCAAGAGCGGGCCCAGACGGGGGACCCGAACGGACATTTTGAGCTCTACGCGTAGAGAGGTCCCATGGAGGCCCCCAAGAAGCCCCCAAGAAGCCCTAACCTAAAGAGGCACCCGAGAGGCCCCAAGAGGCCCCCAAGATGCCCCCGATAGGCCCTAAGAGACCCCCACGAGGCCCTCAAGAAGCCCCCAAGAGGCGCACTGCCGACGACCACTCCGCCAGTCGACCGCGGTGCGCAATATGGGCCGGCGGAATGAACGAAGCGATAAAATATCCAAAACATATTCACAAGTAGTCGAAAATACTAGAAAAATCGTCCCCAGACTACTATTTCCCCCTATGTTTGAAGATTCCTCCTGTAGAGGGACATGCCCGACTGAAGGCCAGGATGGATTCGGTGGGAAGCCTGGTCGACAGTCGTCTACGCGCAAAGGGTGGCCCTGGGCAAAACAGAAGCCTGTGGTGCGCGCCGCGGGGAGGCCAAGCCCGAGCGCGCAAGCCGCTGCCGTCGCATCGCGTTCAGCGAGCGAGGGAGCCCAGTGGGCTCGCACCGAAAGGCCACTCTGGCGATTGGCCAGCCTTGAGCCACCCTAGTCCATGCGTCCCTCGACGGCCAAAACAAATACTGGAACAAACGAGCAGCGCAAATATTCACTTTCGGACCTGGGCCGGTTCTTGATACACTCTGGCGGCGCCTCTAGCGCCGCCCCTGGCGCGCTCCAGGAGGGGGGCCCAGCGCAAACCCTCAGAAATCCGCGCGGCATGTTTGTGACCTTCTGTGCATGTGTATATATATATACAGATATAGATATGTGTGTATGCATGCGAGCATGTATGCATGTATGTCTGTATGTGTGTGTGTTTGTGGCGTGCCCCAGTGCCCCTTCTGGTCGCCCACCTGGTTGGCCACGCTTCGGCCTCTTGGCCTTACAGCGGAGCACACCCCCGCCGCAGCAGCCACCTCTTGCATTGTCTCGTTCGCCCCGCACACTTAATGGGGCTGTGGCTCGCGGCGTTGTTGCCTCTTGCGCTCTCCAGGCGGTGCGCCTGCACCCTTCTGCATGCCGCTCTCCACTTGTGCCGGCTTCGGCCCTCTTTCCTTTTCACGCGTCAGGCACGTTCCGACCATCCACGGGCCACGGTGCGATGGTAATTCATGCTAGCATGTCCCGCCCTTGCGCTCGCCGCGTTGGATCCACCGGCCGCGTCAGGAAACGTGCATGCGTGCTTTCTTTCTTCCCTGGGGGGAAAAGCAGGCCTCGTCGTCGGACGCCGCGACAATAATACAACGCAGTGCAGACACTACGGCGGGAGCTCCCGACCCCGTCATTGCGCGGGCTCTCCCCGAGTCGGAAAAAGTCCTTGAGCGTCCCAGGTCCCGAGGCGGGGCGAAAGCGCTCCAATCGGGGCCTTCTTCACGACGCCTGGAGGTCATCTTCCAACATCGGCGGCGAGCGAAGGGAGAAAGTGAGAAGGAGACGGCCGGCCTTCTGAGAAGTTTTCTAAGCCGTCTCCGGAGACAACAAAACACTTCTCAGAAGGCGCCAGAGCTTCTGAGAAGTCCCGCCGCCTTCTGAGAAGGCCTTCTCCTTCTTATTTCCCCCCCCTCGCCCGCCGCCGAAAAACAGCCGTCAAGGAAAGACATCAGCTACATACATAAGCACCAGACATCGACAACACACATCAGGAACACACATGGAAAACGACAAGCACAACATAAGCCACGAACCGACATCAATAGAAGGTAAACACACTTATGGCGCCCCATCATCAGACACCAATAACAGACAACAACAAAACACATAAACCAAAAGAACAGGCAATACGCGCATGCATATATACCACTCGTCGGTCTGATAAGCAGGTCGAACGAGCAGGAGGCAAAAACATACACAAATAACGAATATCAAGAATCGGCAAGCCTTACACCAACCAGAAAACGCAAGCCAAGAGCAGACAGCAAACACCTACACCATTACCACACACCAATGACAGACAGCAAGAACCCACATCAAGAATTGTCAGCAAACATCGACACCAAGACAAGTCACCAGGGACACGCATGTAGAGCAACCACCAAGGACTTGCTATGTCAATGGTAGGCGGCAAGAACACACAGCAAGGACAGACCTCACGAACACACATCCAGAACACCCATCATGAACGTCGACAAAGAGCAAGCAGCACTAACAAGCATCACAATGCAAAACGCCTACCAGGGACAGACACCACCAACAGACAGCACAGTAGCCAACAATAACACACATCAAGCACATGGATCAAGAAAACGATGAAGGACGCACACCAATGACATACACCAATCAAGATACATCAAGCCAATACACCACACATCAGTTCCACACACATTACTGACATTCGCATACCACATGCATTAGCATCGCACCGCACTGACATCGTACCAAGACCATGCACGAGGAACTGTCAGACACGACACATTGGCGGCAAGGAGACCCACCAATGACAGCCACCCACCACATACAATAACCCCATGCCCCCGATAATAAACCCTAAGGGATAATAAAGTTAGACGTTTTCGGGGGGATAATAAAAGTTGCCCGCCAGAGCCAGCATAAAGAGATATCAAGCTGCCAGAGAGAGAAGGAACTCCAAAGAACATGCATATATATACATAAGGAAAAGAAGAATCGCAGGGGGAGCAGGAGGAGGAGAGAGGAGCGGAGAAGGAAGAAGCGACAATCCAAAGTTCAAAACTTATTAGATTTAATTTGTAAACGCTTAATGGGAATTAAGGTTTCCATCTGCTCGCTCTGCCTAGTTCCCCCAGGATAATCAACCACTGCGATAAACAAGTTCAGGGGGCAGGGAGACAAGAAGAACAAGAAATAGAAAGAGAGAGAGAGAGAGAGATAAAGAAAGAAGAAAAGAAAGAGCAGAAGGATGAGAAGGAGGAAGAGCAGGGGAAGCAGAGGAAGAGGAAGAAACAAAAATCCAATGTTCAAAACTTAGTAGACTTAATTTGTAAACGCTTAATGAAAATTAAAATGTTAATCTGCTCGTGTAGGGTAGCTCATGTGCTTAGTTTTCCCCGGATAATCAACCCCAGCGATAAACAAGTTCAGGGGGGCAGGGAGACAAGAAGATAAAGAAATAGAAAGAGAGAGATAAATAAATAATAAAATAAATATGATAATGATGAGAATGAGGAAGAGAACGAGAAGCATGAGAAGGAAGTAACCTCGATGGCGAACTTTCCCAGTGATAATGAAGTTCCGCCTCCGCGCCCCCGCGCCCCCGACCAAACTCTTATTGGTCGACGATAAAAAACTAACGACTTAAGGGGAGGGGTACATTACTATCGTGGGCATGGGGTTAAGAACGTACATCCACAACTTGTACCACTATCGCAGATGGAGGTACACCATTAACGTACCCCAATAGCATACATCAAGGGCAGCGTCAAGACTGTGCATCAAGACTCGCCGATTTACCGCAGGCATCGAGAACGCACACCAAGCACATACATCATTAGATGCCAAAAACGTGCAGACACTACCTCGACAAGGAAACACCACACATGAACACCGTTCATCACGAACATGCGTGATCAAAGCGGCAAGCGTACAACAGAAACGACAAGCGCAACATTCAGCAGACGCACACTGGCAGCGGACGTACACACATATTACACAATGACTCCTCACACGGACGCGCACAACAAAAAAAAACACGAATGACGACCATACAAGCAAATACGTAACATGGTACAAAGTAGAACCACTTTCGTTAGTCGATGCGATGCGGGTAACACCGCGTTCGGGCTAGAGCGGGCCGCTGGCTACCTGTATAGTCACGCGCGACAGACTTCAAAATCACGCGCAACGTTTCCCTGATGGGGATCGCCCGAAACAACAACATGTTCGTGTGTGGTAACGACACCAGAGTTGCCACGAGAAGGCCATGACCAAAGGTGGAACGCACTACTACCAACGCTTAGGGGAATGAGGCAGAGGGTGGTCAGGCGTGGTGATGGTGTATACCGTTTCGGGCGCTCTCGCGGAACATCATGCAATCCTGCGTTCCGCACATCAGCTCATCCTGCACCCCCCCAGATGGGGCGTTCCCAAAAGGGCCTTGCCTTCGAATCGAAAGCGGCGGAAGGGCGGCGGAAGGTCGGCGGAAGTAAAACGAAGCCGCCTCCGCTGGCGGAAGCAGGCGGAAGCTCGGCGGACGGCGGCGGAAGTAAAAAGTGCGCCCGCAAGAGATGAAAACGTTTTTGGGTTCAGGGTTTTCGGAATCGCCGAGATGGTGGCGTGCCTCCTGTTCCCCTGGGGAGGGTGGTCCCAACTCGTCCAGGGATGCGCACTTGGTCTCCGGAGCATCCCTCACAGGACCCGCCCTGCCCGCAACGCCGCACGGGCTCCAACAGTTAGCTGGAGGCACCTTGGGCCACGATCGCCTGGCAACCGCCGACTGACGAGGACGAGGGAGGGGAGGGAGAGCGCGGGACGAGGAGAGGCATGCCACTCTGAGGTCCCAGGCATCGTCTGGGTCACGCTGCTGAAGATGCACCGCGGGTGCAGGCTCTCTCCGGCCTTGCCGTGGGCGTCGAGCTCGAAGGGGCATGCGTCGCCTGGGGCGGCGGGAGCGGCACAGCCCGACGACAGGCAACGGTGGGGTGCAGAATCAAAGCCTCGCGGGCGGGAAACGTGTCCACATCGATTCTCGCTTGGAGGAGCAGGAGCAGGAGGAGGAGGAGGAGGAGGAGCAGGAGCAGCAGGAGGAGGAGGCAGGAGCGAGGAATGGCAAGCCGTCGCCACCGGCCCCGTGGATGCAGGGCGGCCTCGTCTGGATGCCTCGCGCGGAACGCGTCCATGGGAGCGCCCATCCCCGGGAGCGCGCCTCGGCACCTGGACCCGCGAGGGCACGGCTCATCGCGGACATGCCCGCCGCGCGTGCCTCACGGCGCGCTCGTGACGAGACCTTGCGCTCCGGGGCCTGCGGCCCGGGCCCCCCCCCCCCCGGCGCGGCCCCACCGCCTCGCCATTGCCGTGGGCGTGCAGGGAGGGAGGTCTCCCCCCGTCGGGGCGGAATGCGAAGGAAGGCGAACGAGGAGGAGGGCGATGAGGTGGAGGACGAGGAGGGACGAGGCCTTTCTTCGAGGAAGCGAAGAACATTCCCCCACTGCCTCTGCTGCTGCTGCTGTTCCTTTCGCCCCTAATTGCCCTTCACGTGTCTCCTCCCCTTCCCGCGATTCGTATAAGAGCTCCCAGCCACTCCCGCCACCTCCGCCACCACCAGCAGCAGCGAAGTCTGGGCGCACAGAAAAGCCCATCGCTGAGGTAACAAATGGCAGTGAGAAGTTTCAGTCCAAACATAAGCCCACTGTTCAGGTAGAAGCCGACAGTGAGAAGGCGCATCCAGCACCGCCGCCCCTTGTGGCAGTGAAGTCTAATCCCAAAGTTAAGGCCGCTGGTCAGGTAGAATCCGACAGTGAGCAGGGCCAGGATTTCAAAGTCAGGCTTCAGTTCAAGCTTCTGATCTCGGATGTCTTCCAGCAGTACGAACCTCACATGCTGGATCAGTTGGACAAATTCTTGGACAAGTACAAAGGGCAAGAACAGCATCTTTATTTGGCAGTATGCGAGAAATTCAACGTCGAGCCTAAGGTAAAGGTTCAGATCTCTAAGAAGGAAGACAAACTTCCAGATGTTTTGGACAGTGGTAGCGAGTCCGATTCACCTTCTGCCAGTATAAAACATGTCGACCGTCTTCGCTCGACTTCTCCAGAGCACGCTAGTAAGCGTGCAAAGGTTGTGCACAGCGATGCAGCCCCTTCCATGGAATCAGCCCCGTCCAATTCAAGACTTCTGGAGCTCAAGTGTGGTCTCCAGGAGATCAAGATCAAGCACCTCCAGCAGCAGCTGGAGACACTCCAGGAAAAGCTCAGTCGCGTTAAGAATCAAAACACAGCTTCAGGCAGTGCGCCTGTTCCACGGAGGAGCAGATCTAGCTCAGACTCCTCTTCTTCAAAGTAAACGGAGTAAATCTCGTTGGTTGTATCCAAGTCTTTCATTTCAGCGGCAGAATTTATATTGCATCATGGGCAAAATAGGCAACTTGAGTAATGGCTTAGATGAGCGAAGTTTCTTTGGCTACAGGTTTTTGGTAGAATCCTTCCTTTGTGTTGGTCAGCTCTGCGTTTGGGTAGGACATTCGTCAGCTACCCAGCGTTCTTTAACCTTCACACGTCGTGTATCCTTTGGCCAGATTGGCAGTACTGTTGAAGCAGGTAGCTTACTTGCAGTTTCCCATCATGCGCTAGTTTGGGCAGCTGTATTTCAGCCCAGCTCATTCTTCCTTATCAGGGGCCCAGGAGAGTCTGGCGAAGTAATCCCCTAATCTTTTCTCCAACCCTTATGGGGGATGGTAGGTCTCGCTTTGCTAGGGGTCTGCCCATTAGTATGTGGGAAGTAAGTTGCCCCAGTGCATTGCAGTTTGATCTCCTTCCCCTTCCCTTGTTCCATCATGCTTCCCCCCTCCCTCATTCCTCCCTCCAGACAGTTCAAGGAATTGGCAGCCAGGTCGCAGGCGAAAGCAGGTGGCCTTCCCTGGCGGGTCTTGCCATGGTCTCACCATGCCCGAAAGTCCGAACCTGCAAGTTGGCGTTCAGGGATTGCTCGTGTCTGGGGTGGGGGGAACTTGGTGGGTGGGATGGGATTATCCGCCCCGCTCTGGGGAAGGCATGCGTCGATCCGTTCTGGCCTGGGAACGGCCCATTAGTAGGTGGGCAGCGTTTAACCCGGGCTAGTTTGTTTCATGCATTTTCATTCTCCGCCTCTCCTCCTCCTGGGGTAGGGTTCGTGGCGCCGAATCGGAACTGGCAACGCCCCAGGCAATGCCTGGGGGTCAGTTGCTGTCCGAGGAACGCGCCTGAGCTTTAGTTCATCCCCGAAGCGAATGTCGAAAAAATGTCCTCCTCCTCCTCCTCCTCCTCCCGTGGCACGGCGTCGGCAACACGCGAGTCTGCGGCAGATGATGAGGCCATCGGCAATCTTTACGCCCCCCTCACTCGGCTCGCCAGCATTTGTGGATGCCACACGGCAGCCCGGGCCACCCCACTTCTCGAACCGCGCCCCAGGACGTGCGACGCGCGACTCTCTTCGCACCTTCGCGCCGACGCCCTGCAGAAGGGTAGCTCGGCGGCCCCAGCTGCGACGCGCGAAGAAGGCAGGGGGCCACATGCGAAGCCTGCCCCTACCCCCCACGATTTCCGAGCGAAGTGGACCCCACCATCCCCCTCAGAAATCGTGGGGTGGTAGGGGTGGGGTTCGCATGTGGCCCCCTAGAAGGATTGCCTTCGCCCCCGAGTGGGCGATCCAGGGAAGCAACCTGGGGCGGACTGGAATCGCTGTGTGACGACGAGCTCGCCGGCGGGCTGGGCCGCCTCGCCCGGTGCTCTCCCTGCTCGCCCCGCTTCTCTCCCTTGCCGTTACAGGGGGGAAAGGGGGTGGCTTATTGTACTACTTTGGGTTCTTTAATGAACGTGGGGGGTACCTCCCCGACGGGGGTCAACCTCGTCTCGTCGTCGCGCCGCGACAGGGGTCTGAGCGCCTTCGGCGCGATTTGGCTGCCCGCGACGGCGGTCGATGTGGGGCTGTCAGCGGGGGTGGCGCCCCCCCGACGCTTATTAAGAAACTCGGAGTATGCACCCGTGGGTGTGCTGGCAGCTGCCGTCCTGTCAGAGCCATTGGCACTCAGGAGCGCGTGCAAGTGCTCATCGTAGCAAGCGGGCACCCTCGTGTTCCATCTCTCGACGCCGACGGCGCTCGAGTATGCCGTAACAAGGGGGCCTCAATGCGCCCAAAACGCTCGTGGAGAGGTGCATCTCGCCTAGGGCTTTGCCTTTTGCTGTGGCGACACGGGCGCGGCTGAGAGGTCCACCTGGAAGGCCCGCCTGTGGTGGCCGAAAGCTTCAAGCTGCCTGAGCGTACCTGCAAATGCGGCGCAGCAATGTTCTCGCCATGCTGATGGGTGAACTCGCTACCAATTCGTGCCGCTTGGCTGGAAGATGGGACCCCTGCCCTGGTTCCGCATACTGGCGACCATGGTCACAACGATGACCTCCGCCCTGCTGCTCTTCAACGGTTCGAGTGTTGGTTCCGCCGCAACCTACGGTACAAGGCGAAGTGCTCGACCAACGTTGTCCGAGATGCGGCGTTCCAGCCCCGCTGTAACGAGTGCAACTCGACATGGCTCGAACTATAGCTATGATATAACCACAAAGCTGTCTGGCGTGTCCTGGTGCTCACGCAATCGCTCCACCGACGACGGGGTCGGCGGGGAAGTAAATAACAGGCGGCTCAAAAGCAAACGGAAGGCCGAAAAGGACAACGAATGCGCAGTGCAGGATATGATCAGCACGCCCCATCTCACGGTCAATGGCCTTAAGGGGCTGGTGATGTGTACCGCTGACGGCGTCGAAATATCCTTATACGCGCGTGTGGCAGTCCCTTGCGAATTTCCCGCGCAGTGGTCCAAGTGGAATCGGTAGACATATGTGTATATGACATGAAATCGATGGACAAATAATGAGACCAAATGCGCGGCTAATGATATCGATAGAGAGATCGACCGGCAGAGGTTGTCCTGACAGTTGTCCCCACAGTTGTCCCGATAGTTGTCCCGTTGGTGGGCGGACTGATTGAAAACGGGATCGATTGACATATCGTGGGGCCGATACATAGGGAACTCGACGAACCGATTGATAGCTAGATCGGCGTATAGATAGTGGTATCCATCCATAGATCGGATGTGTACAGGTGTGTCGAAATTTCGATGCACGATGAAAAACAGTGGCATCGATACACGTAACGTGGGGACGATAGTTCGACTGTGAGCGATACGTAGACATATATTGCGATCGCTGGAGGATAAACGTACCGATGGGAAGTGTTGGACGGATGGAAACAATTGGCTCGATGATTGTCCCTTCGTTGGTTTCACCCCTTAGCCTCCTTATCGGCCTTCGGCTGGTCTGATTGGAGACATATCGCGTCTACACCACTGAATAATTTGATCATCTGTTGAGCAAGTGAACGTGACGCACATATAAGCGTTCAGGGCTCGACCGCTAGTTCGATCGCTCAATCGTTCAATCGTTGGGTAGTTTTTTGTCCATGGACCGGCACGAACTCCCGGGGTTCCGAGCATCCAGCTGCACATTCGGCATCGATAGGTCACCGCGGGAGAAGTCATCTCCCCCTGGCGACATCCGAGAGGTCACCATTCGTATGTTAATTGCGCGCCGCTGGTCCACCACAAACAAACCTCGGAGGATACGGGCCTCGCATCGACCGAGCACTCAGCCACGAGGACGTTGACACGTGGCAGCTAAAAACATGCTGGTGGCAAAACTGTGCACGAATGTCGGGCAACAGCTCTTGCACTGCCACTTCTTCGAAGTAATTCGCAGAACGCGCCTCCCAAGAACTCAGTACCCGAATGCCTCCACCGTCTTCTCGAAACACTTCACGTAATCGCCCACCTTCATCATGGGGTGATATGCTGCGGTCTTCCTCTCCGTGCAGTCAGGCCTCCATTTCTTGTTTTTTTTCTGGTCCTCTGGGCGATCAGCCTCGCAGGCCGCGTCCAGAACAGTGTCGAACGCCCCGCCGCGGCGCACACCCATGGCGTCCAAGCAGCTCTGAGCGAAAAGGTCCTCCCCCATCGGCCCGTACTTGCCGCCCTCCACTCCGGTCTTCCAATCCAGGACCTGCTTGCACCATTCGATGTTTGGGAACAGCGTCTGGGCGGCAGTCAGAGACATGATCTCCAAGTTCCCGAACCAACCCCACTTAACGTATTTGCAATTCTCGAGGTAGATGCCAGGCACACCGCTCCCAGGCTCGCCCTGGGAGGCAAGGAAGGGCCTCAAGCGGCTCGGCAAGAACACCGCATCGCAATCTACCTTGACCACCCAGCTGGCGTGCTGGTAGTCTCCCGCCGCCCTGATCGCTTTCCAAACCTGTGTGTGCAATCCTGTGTTGATCCAGGTGCCAGTCTCCTCGCGCTTTAGAATGTGGAAGTCCCCATCGGCGTCGTCCACCGCCACGAAGGGCACGCCAGGGGCCAGGTCGCCTGGCTTGTCGCTGAAGATGCCCCACTGCTCGCACGCAAAGATGCCTATCTTCCTGTCGTACGCCGCCTTCAGCAAGTTCAATTCGTCCGGGCGCTCGGTTTTGCCGTCGCTGCCTGTGTCTGCCGTGTAAACGGAGAAGCAGTACATCGATGTTCCGGGTGCAACGGCGTTGTCCAGGTACATCGGCTCGCCAGCCTTGGGCACAGGCACCGCGCAAGCCGTCGTCTCGCTGGGCGTGCAGTTCTTCATGCACTGGGCCGAGCCAGGCGTGGTCGTCACGAAGCAAGTGAAGCCGGCCACGTCGCAGCACGCCGTGTCGAAACAGTCCCCGGACACGTCGCTGCACTTCTCCCGCGCCGGCTTTGCCAGCACCTGCACCAGGTCGCGACTGGCCGCGAGGCCGCCCCCTGGCGAGCCGGCGCCGCGACCTGCCGCGAAGCCGCCGCCGGCGCAGGCGGCACAGGCCAGCGCTGCGCAGCCGAGGACCCTGCCGGTGCTCCAGCCAGAGGCCGGCGCAGCCGCGTCGCTGTCGCTGCTGAGCTCCATGTCATCGCTGCGGCGCTGCGGCGCCATCTGGGCGAGAAAGTGATGAGGTGTGAGCTCTGGTCTGCAGCGGAAACAAGCAGGCGTGCGCCGAGGAGCCGCGATCACTTGAGCCAAAATGGATACGGATTCAAGCATTGGGTAGATTCGGTAGATTGACAACCAAACGTTTTGTTGAATTGTTGGGTAGATTGACAGCCAAATATTTTGATGCACCGTATACATATCGACAACTGATCCGTCGGCATGGATGCTCACGCTGACACTTATTTCGCTGGGCTAAAAAAACCGTCGGCGACGTGGTGCGACACTACTCATTGTTTTCCTGTACGCTCGGCGCGATCGGAGCTATCGCATGACGCGACCACAACCAATTAGAAACTAAGGATTTCCACACATAACAAACTGAACAAAATAATTCCGGCCCGACAGACAGTGCCCAATATCCGTGCGACAGCTCACGCAACATTTCCAACAACTATCATTGCGCATCACTGGAACAGATCCATGTGAACATCAATCAGATAGTCAGGTCAGAGGTCATCCGATACCATGCCGCGAAGGACTACGAGGAGTGTCCGCATGCCCCCCAGAGTCCTCAAACCTCAATACTCAGAATTCAAAACCATCCGCAATGCCACGTGCACTGACAGCAGTGCCGCTGCAAGAAAAGAGGTACACGCCCGGATGGCCTTTCCCCTTACCATCAACATGGAATTGGAGTGATGAGTCACAAGTCACAGACCTACGAACGTCGCGACCGTCGAGCCGCGCGCCGTGTCGGCACGAGCCGGGCGCCACCCGTCAGCCTGCATCTGGATGAAGTGCCCTGAAGAAACCTTAGCCCTCAATATTGAATATGGTGAGTACCCTTTCATCGACAGAGACGCCTGGGCGTTTCCGCGTGTTATCGCAGACTCCATGGGGTTTCTCGGGTGACCGCCCCAGGGGCCAAAGTGCCCCAAGACGGGCCAGCAGGGTCCGAGGAGGCCATCAAGACCATGTGTTCCCCCGAGGGTTTCCACAACGGCTGCGCAGAGGCCAATTGCTTTGCCAGGCCCTAACGTTTGGCACCATGGGCGCTTTGCCAGGCTTCGGCCCAACGCTTGGCACCATGGGCACTTCCACAAGGCAGGAGGCGGCGGTGGTTCGCCGCAGACGCCTTCGACTGTCTTACGGGGCTCAGGGCACTCAGTTCACGGACTTCACTCACTCGCTCCCAGACTCCGTGGCGCGCCCACGTCTGTGCCATCGACCATGCCGCAAACGAGCGCGCGGAGACGCCATCGACCGTGCCGCGGCCGCTTCGCCGGCACCGTGCACCTGCGAACCCACCGTGGCGCTGGCACTTCCGCAGGCGCCCCCCGCCTGTTGCCGCAAGCCCCTCGGGGGCTCGTCGCGGGATCGTCCCCGGAGAGGCCAGAGGCCCCCAAGACAGGCCGACGGGGTCCGGCGAGGCCGCCCAGCTGATTCGAGAAGGCCCCCCGACGGCCCAAGAGCGCTTCGGGACGGCCCAGGATGGTCGCCAGACGGCGCCCACAAGACCCCCCATGAGGTCCCCAGGAGGACCCCAGAGGCAACGATAATGGAATATATGGTCCAGGGCTTGGCCCCCCCCCCCCCCCCCCAATGCTGATGCCATTGGGCCCCCCCCCCCCGCGCGATGGTCCCCCCCGCCCCCCCCTGTGGGCGTGGCGTGGTGCTGCGCTGCGGTGCCCCCCCCCTGTGGATGTGGTGTGGTGCTGTGGTGGTTCAGAGGTGGGCGTGGCGTGGTGCTGCGCTGCGGTGCCCCCCTCCCCCCCCCTGTGGATGTGGTGTGGTGCTGTGGTGGTTCAGAGGTCGTCGTCGTCGTCGTCGTCGTCGTCCTCGTCGTCCTCGTCGTCGTCGTCGTCGTCGTCGTCGTCGTCGTCGTCATCGTCGTCGTCGCCGTCGTCATCGTCGTCATCGTCGTCGTCGCCGCCGCCGCCGGCGTCGTCGCCGCCGCAGCCGTCGTCGTCGTCGTGGTCGTCGTCGTCGTCGTCGCCGTCGTCGTAGTCGTCGCCGTCGTCGTCGTCGTCGTCGTCGTCGTCGTCGTCGTCGTCGTCGTCGTCTCTGGGACCATATCATCTGGGGGGGGGAGGGCCCGAGGAATCCTGGGACCATACCATCTGGGGGGGGGGGGCCGTGGGCCCAGAGCCCGGGATCATATATATATATATATATATATATATATATATATACAAGACTGCAGTGGCGCTTCGCGCCATGGACCTTGGTCCTTGAAGTTTCGTATGCAGGCGGAATAGCAGGAAGGTCAAGCCGAAGATTTAGCGATACCGTCTGGTTGCCTTTTCTGGCATCGCCGCTATAATAATGTTATTCGTTATCCTTCCTCCATGCCTCTTTTTCCTTATTTTCGCCATGCTCTGCGCATTCTCCCCATCCTCCTCAGCTCTTTTTGCGGAGGCTCCTCCTTGGAGAGCCTCTAGGGGCCTCACAAAAGTTGCTTCAGGCTTTCTTAAGGCCTTCTGGAAACCTCCTGGGCGTATTCTGGGGGCCTCCGGGGGCTTCCTCGGGCCACCCTGCCTCCAACCGCGGTCTCCCTGCACGACCGAATCACGATTTGGAATTCTTCGGAGGGTGTCTTTGGGCCATCTTGGGCCGCCATGGGGCTCTCTGAGGGCCATCTTGGACCCGTGTTGTGCCGTTTTGGGGCTCTCTTGGACTGCCTGGAAGCCCTTTCGGATGGTTGTGGGGCGATTTTGGAGCCTCCCAGGCGGCTTCGGACGCCCAGAAGACCGCCGTCTTGGAGCGTCGGGAAGCCGAAAAGAGGAGAACCCTAAAATTCACCAAAAACCAATCAAAAGTCAATGATTTTTGTCTCGGGGGGCCCTCTTTTGGGAGTGCTCTTGGAGGCCTCTTTGGGGCCGTCCTGGAGGCCTCTTGGGCCATCTTGAGATCACGTCGGTCACTCTTGGAGCGCTCTTGTGCTGTCTTGGGGGTCTCTGGGACGTCTCCGATGACCCCCCTGATCGCCCTAGGCGTGCTGGGAAGGCTTGGCAAAACGCCATGTGAGGCCCGGTGGCCGCTTCGAGGCCCGTCTGGAGGGTCCCAAAGCCCCAGATCCCGGGAGTCCGTTTTTTTTTTTTGTTTGGGGGGGGGATGGGTTTCCCCCCCGCCCGGGCTTAAACAAATATAGGAAGAGGAACATGTATGTATGTATGTATGTATGTATGTATGTATGTATGTATGTATGTATGCATATATGTATGTATGTATGTATGTATGTATGTATGTATGTATGTATGTATGTATGTATGTATGTATGTATGTATGTATGTATGACTATATATATATATATATTTAAACAAGGGGGCTCTAGGATTTTAGCGTTCTCGCTTGTTGGGTTTTCCAACACTCCAAGACGCCCCACGAGGCCCCAAGCTCGCCCCAAGGCGGCCCAAGAGGGCGCAAAAAGGACATCAAGACGGCCCTATAGGCCCCAAAGGCGGCCCCAGAGGCCCCCAGGGCGGCACAAGCGCCGAAAAAGGGCCCTAAGAGGGGGAACGCGAACTGATATTTCGAGCCCTCCGCCACAAGATGATCCACGAAACTACCAGAAGACCCTCGAAGGCCCCCGGAGGCCCCCAGGAAATATGCCCCCGAGAAGCACCCCAAGAGATACGGCATGTGACGCAAACGCGGTGGCTGGATGGGCCCGAGGCCGCTAGAGATAGGCACAGCCATCCGCCGCGAGTCCATCGTAGGCTAAGACCGCAGCCATCCCCTAAACCTCTTTATCATCAGAAGGGTAGCCTCACAGATGCACACATCGGCCACTGGAGAAGCTGTCCCAAAATGGTAAGAGAGCTACAGAAGAAGCGTACGGCAGTACCGGTCCTCCCCCTCCACCACCGCCTCCTCGTTCTCCACTTCCTCCCTCTCGGGCGCCGCCTATACTTCCGTCGTCCTCGCTCGTGGTGCAGTCCACCTCCACGAGCCCGTCTCTCAGCAACGCGACGGTTAGGAGACCCCAGGCGTACAGCATGAGACCCGTCAGCACCTCGGACGCGGGGGGGGGCACAATGAGGCAGAAAAATCCCCCAGCACTCCCGAACCCAGCCAGTGAATGTGCTGCCGCGCGGCCGTCCCGTAATTAGTTGCTGCGCAGAAACCTCGTGCCACCCCACACATGAGAGAAGGACGTGGATAGCAGGGAGAATATACATGATGATGAGAAGGGCGTGCCAATAACTGCCTCATGCAGCCCGTGATCCTGCCAGGATCGTCCTCCTCATCCTCCCCTCCCTCTCCCCCTTGCTCTTCCTCCTCTGTAACTATCCTGCTTCCTCAGACTCGTGGGGGTGAGACTTAAGACTATGTGGTGTGAGGCTTTTCTCGTCATCATCATCATCATCATCATCATCATCATCATCATCATCATCATCATCATCATCATCATCATCACCATCACCGCCATCATCATCACCATCATTATCCTTTTCCTTCTCCTCGTCCTCCTATTCATTCTCGCCTTCAACATCGTTCTCCTCATCGCCCTTCCCCCCGCGCAATCATAACAATAACACATCAGCACAATCAAACAAAATAAGAAACACAAACAATCAACAAAGCACGGAGAAACCATTCCAATCAGCAACCAATCATAATCCAATGCGACCTAAAACAACGATAAATCCATACGAACAAACACACACACATACATCCACACACTCAACAACAATAAGAAGAAATCGACTTGGTTCCACGATCCCTGAGGGTACAACACGAACTGGAGACGGTACCAGACAAAAACAACTATTAATTGTTTTCGTGTTTTCGGACTTCCTCAGGGCCCCTCCAGCCCATATCCGCCCAGGCAGTCTGACGGCACGAACACCCTGTTGTTTGTAACCTCAAGTGGTTCTAGTTGTAGCGTGTTATTGTGTGGGATCCCTTTTGGGTGCCCTCGCACAGTTCGTGGACCCAAGAGGTTTGCTGGTTGGTTTTGATTGTATGGGCTTCTTCTGAAGGAAAGAGAGAATCGGGGGCCCCCGAACGGGGTGGTGACCACACCGTGTGGTGAGTCGGTGGGAGCTCGGGGTCACGGCACTGTTTTGGGACTCGGGTCGTTCTCCGAGGACGCCTCGGGCGACTGGCGCATCCGAGGTCCCAAAACCGTGCGTTGACGGACCGTGCGGTGGGGTCTCGGGGGATTTCGAGGTCACCGCACGGTCTGTCACCGCACCTTTTTCGGGGCTCCGAAGAGCAGTCGTGAGGAGGAGGGCGCCCCGCGCTGGGCACGGACCTCGGCAACGCTGGCCTGAGTCTCCTTCCGCACCGCCCCCCGACGAAAACGGAGCCCGGCGTGCGGGCCCATGGCTTCGCTGCTCCTCCTGCCCGCCTTGGCAGTGGGAGCAGATCTCGGCAATCTGCGGGCCTACATCCGTTCCTGGCGCCGCCCCGCCCTCCCGACCTGCTCTGTGTTTCGCACGTGGCATCCTCCTGCTCCTCGCCTCCCCTCTCCTCCGCGCAATCGAAGCCGTAAGACATCCGCACAGTTTTTCGGGGGAGGAGAAATGTTACCTTGATTGCGCGGAGGAGGAAGGAGATGAGGAGGAGGATGAGGACGAGACTGAACATTAAGAGGAGGAGAAGGAGGATGGTGGTAATGATGATGGTGGTGATGATGATGGGGATGGCGCCCAGAAAAAACACCACGCCACATAGTCTTAACCAATCTCAGCCTTACCCCTCAACCCTCTCCTCACCTGCTCCTCCTGCTCTTCCTCTCCCTCCTCCCCCTGACTCTGGCTCCAACACCCGCCGTGACTCCAGGTGGCCCAGTCCTGCCGCGCCAGCTGCGAAGCCCACAGAAATCCTCCTCCTCCTCCTCCTCCTCCCTCTCCTCCTCCTCCTCCTCCTCCCCCTCCTCTTCCTCCTCCTCCTCATCTTCCTCCTCCTCGTCCTCCTCGTCCTCCTCCCTCGCTCCACGCCGACGATACAAGAGTACTCAGTCGTCGCCAACAAGTCCCTCCAAGAAGCCCTGCGTGCGGGAGAACGCCGAGAGCGAGGGGGCAGCGCGACGGTTGGCGGCGCTGCTCACCAACTCGAGACGGAAAGCATCGACCGCGCGGGAGGTGATGTAATAACGCAGACATGGCTGCAAGCCACAAAAGCCAATCGTGAGCGACTGGCAACCTTCGAATTCAGTGTGGGTCATGCGGGTGACGGTGAAGGATGAAGAAGACGGGGGCGAGGGGGCAATGAGGACAAGGACATGCAAGAGGAGGGGGCGAGGAATGTAACAACACCGCTAATCATGAGAGGAGGAGGGGAAGGGGACGTCATCGTCCCGTCTATCTCCAAGAAGCTCCAGGATACGTACATCTGTATATGTGGTTTTATAGGTACATGTATACGTATGCTGTGCATGCGCATTACGTGTATAGTTTAGCCAGCGTGCACCCAGCGTAGTGATTTCTAGCAGTCGATATGGTGCACACTAGGCGGTGCATGCAAAGTGGCGCAATTTAGGCGGTGCCGATCCATGTGGTGCAGTCCATGTGGTGCAAACACCATGCAACCAACTGGAACGTAATGCACATCAGCGCAAACCGAAGCACTGCGCTACACTGCAAAGCAACGCGCAGCAGAAGTGCAACACACTGCATCGCAACGCAAAGCACTGCAACGCAATGCAAAGTAATGGACAACACTGCGACGCACTGCAAAGCAATGCGATGCGATTGCAATGCAACGCAAAGTAACCCACTGCAACACAATTCAAACATATTAAACAAACAGCGCACCTTAGGGCAACGCAAATCGACGCAACGCAATGCAATCGCAACGCAATGCAATACATTGCAAGCCACTGCAAAACAAATGCAACGCAATGCACGTCAGCACACCTCAAAGCAATGCAACGCAATGCCGCCCGAAACACTGACAAGCAAAGCAACGCAATGCAACGCAGGTCAAAACACGACCATAGCACTGCGTGGCAGTGCAAAGCAGTGCCAACCAGTGCACAGCAAAGCGGCGCAACGCGATGCAAAGCGGTGCAAAGCAATGCGATTGCAACGGGGGGGGGCACGCAACGGGACGGCGACGGCGACCACGGAGCCGCACGACCGCCGTGCGGGCTCAGACGACAAGCGGCGACGAAGCGGCGACGGGGCGGCGACCACGGAGCCGCCAGACCGCCACGCGGGCCCAGACGACTTGCGGCGAGCCCAGACGACGGGCGGCGACGAGGCGGCGGCGGGACGGCGGCGGACACCACGGGAACGCCACGAGGGCACGGTTCCCTAGAACATGTTAGTCAGTGTGACGACCCCAAACAGTGTGTCTCAATTGATATATGTCGTGCAACCCATAGTGTGCAAACTCTATGTCGTGCAACCTGTGATGTGCAATACATGATGTACCATCCCTGTGGTACAACATGATGTGTGCAACGTGCACCGTACAATCTGTGCTGTGCAACCCGTTGTATGCGCTACAAGTTGTGCAATCTAGGCTGTGCACTATACATGCGGTGCAATATTTGTAGTGAAACCTATGAGGTACAGCCTATGCCGTGCACTGCATGTGAAGCAGGGTGCATTGACTACATCCTAGATGTAGCAATATATGTGGTGCAATGTATGTGGTGCAGAAATTTTCTGACCGTATTGAAACTGTCCTCTCCACTGCTCGTGCAAACATCCCACCCTCCCACCCGCAACTTGGTCGAAAGGCCTCTTAAGACAAGACCGTGACGGTAGGTACCAGATGGCACTTGGCCACGAACATAACGGTCGATATCTACAGCTGTATGTACATATGTATATCTCTCTGACTGCCTTTCTACTGATTCCGCTGTCAATCAACAAAAGTACCATCTTGGCAAAACTCGAGGCAACCATCGGGACAACCATCGGGACAACCAGAACGATAACCGCCGGGACAACCATCTGGACAACCACAAGACGCCCACACAACCGCTTGAAAACCACGAACCAACCACGGGACAACCGCGGGGCACCGACCGCCATCTGGACGAGGAGAGCCTTTTGCACTGGCTTCGCCCTAACAAAGGCGGGATCACTGCTCCCGCCAGCGCACACAGCTTCGCCTCGCCCGCACGCGCGACACGAACACGAAACCGAAACCGATGTCCCAGTGGGAGGTCCCCGTTTCACTTCGACCTAGCCTCCGAAACAGCGATAAATACAGACATACATATACGAAAGGAGAGAGGAGAGAGAGAGAGAGAGGAAACGAAAGAGAGAGAGAGAGAGCGAGCCAAAGGGAGATAAGATGAAACCAGGAACTGTGACAACTTGATCCGGAAAGGGAGCAGCCAGCGAATCCACGTTGCAAACCCTTTCAAGCTTACAGCGCAAAGAAAAAGAAGGCTGTCACCATCACCCACATCATGCTGGCCATCGCCTGCGTGATCCCCACCAGCAAGTTGTACAGAGGCGGAATGCCCTTGATAAGTCTGAGAAGGCGCATGATTCTAAACAGTCGCAAGATGCGCAGGACGCGCAATACATCAGAAATCGACTCATTGTAACCCTCGTTGGCAGGAATCCCCGCCAGGATCTTGACAAGGCGAACTGCGGGAAGCAACCACTCATCCATGATACCAGCGCATACAAGAAATGTATCAAAATAATTCCAACATCGGCCCTCCCCAGTGAACAAGAATGACCACAACCCCGCCTGCTTCATGCGGGCGACAATCTCAAATGAAAAAAACATCAGAACGAAATGCTCCCAGTAACACCACACAGGTAAGTGTGGATAGTCGATTTCGAAGCTCATCGCCAGGCTGCTGAGAAATATCATCACCATGATGAACGTCTGAAAGCCATCGCGCTCTGTCCACGACAAATCCGCTCGCATAAGCAATCCGAACAACTTGAACGTGCGGGCTAGACGCAGCACGCGCATGAACTTGAAAACCTCGACCTTAGACCATCACAGGACAAAAAAAACGTGTTTACCGAACACGCCCTGACAGATATGACGCGTCGCACACGTGACATTCTTATGAACAGAAAGGCGTACAAGTCCTACCCTACTGGACCACAATGACGGGCAAACGCATGCGGACGATCGCCGAACCCAATCGACCGCAGGCCACGATTCCTGGTAAAAGACGGGTTCGCGCTCCCGGGGCCACGATCCCCTGTAAAGGACCATAGACCCGCGCCCCCGGAATCCAAGGCGGACCAGGCAGACAACCAAGGCAACCTCTTGTGCCTCCTTGTCCTCCTTGTCCTCCTTGTCCTCCTCCTCCTCTGGCTCCTCCGCCTGGTCACCACCACCTTCATCACCACACGAATCATCAGTATCATTTTTTTGTTTGGGGTGGGGGTCACCCCTGGCCAAACCAGTTCAGAGGCTCCAGGTCTCGGCCACACCAGTGGCCCGAAAAACAAAACGCCGACAGCGGAGGAGAGATGCGAAGTCGCAGGATCGCCTCCTCAAGAGCGAGGAGGCATACCCGTGGCCCACCAGCTCACCCCCCAAGCGGTAGTCCGATCCAGAACCCTCGTCATGGCGAGGTATCGGCATCACTATCATCATCACCACCACCACCATCCTCATCATCATCCTCATCCTCATCCTCATCCTCATCCTCATCATCATCATCATCATCATCATCATCATCATCATCATCATTACCATGTCCATCAGCGTTATCACCATCATGATCATTCTCGCCATCATCCTCAGTCACCATGATCAGCGACATCATCTTCATCATCAACATCACCATCAATGCCCGCATCATCGTCAACATCACCATCACCACAACCATCATCATTAGCAACATCAGCATACTAATCATACTCATCAGAATCATCAGTATCTCGATCATCGCCAGCATCACAGTGATCATCATCATCATCGTCGGGATCAGCATCAGCATCACCATCACCATCATCAGTATCAGCATCAATAGCATCATCAGTATCATCATCGTCGCCATCACCATCATCAGCATGTTCACCACCACCACCACCACTACCATCATCCTCATCACCATCATCATGCCCATCATCACCATCATCAACACCATCATCAGCATCATCATCATCATCATCATCATCATCATCATCAACATCATGACCACCGTCATCTAAATCTCCGTCCCCATCCACATACGCAAAACCCTCGTAGTCGCCATGATTCTCATCACGGCTCTCCCGAGCCTGGGGGCACGAAGAACGTCACACGCGACGGCCTCTCCCGTGCCACCTCGAGCATAATCGCCACCCAGAGTACTGGACTGCCACAAGGGATGTGACTTGCCTCCGGCAGCTGGATAATCTTCGATGCCGATCCAGGGGTCCTCAGGAGCGCGGCTGGGAGGCTTTCCTGGGCGCCCATTGGGCCGTCGTGGGGCCCTGTGGCTGACCCAAAAGGCCAACGTCATTGGATGGGTCCCGTCCTGCGTGTTAGGACTCCTTCGTAGTGAACGGCGGTATTGCGCTCCCTGAAGAGCTGCAGACTGTGCAACTGCCGTGCGCTCCTGGGAGGTCCAGCAACGCGACGCAATGCTCACGCCCGGACGAATACCTCATGCTCCCAGGGGGGGGGGGGGCTGACAATGCCGCAGCCGTCGCCATTTTCGTGCGCTCCTGGGGGGTCTAGCGGAGCAGCGCGCTGCGCGCACCCAAACTACCTAAAAACTAGACCTCGAGCTGCCGGGGGGATGCCAATTGCACAGCCGTCACCACTTTCGTGCGCTTCTGGGAGGTCGAGCGGGACGACGCGCTACGCACATCCAGATTAGACCTCGCGCTCTCGAGGGGGGCTGGCCCCTGCGAAACTGTCGCCGCTTACGTATACCCCTGGGGGGTCCAGCGGAGCAGGGCGCGATGCAAACCCAGACTAGACCTCGAGCTGCTTGGGAGGGCTGCCAACTGGGCAACAATCGCCCCGGGTATGGGCTTCTGGGAGGTTCAGCGGAGAGATGCGCTGCGCACACCCCGATTCGACCACGCGCTCCCTGAGGGGCTACCAACGCCGCAACTGTCGCTACTTGCGTTGGCTCCTAGGAAGTTCAGAAATCCGACACGCTACCCATACCCAGACTAGACTTCGCGCTCCCTGGGGGGCTGCCGACTGCGCAATTGTCGCCATCTTCGTGGGTGCCAACGGAACCACGCGCTACGCACACCCAGACTAGACTTTGCGCTCGTTGTGGGGTTGCTGGCTTCGCAACTGTCACCACCGGAGCGCGTGCGATCCTGGGAGGTGCCCGCTCGATCGGGGGCCAACACCTGCGCAACTGCCGCCACTGCCGAAGGTGCCACCGAAGCGACGCGCTACGCACATCCAGGCTAGACTTCGCGCTCCCTGGGGGGCTGCCAGCGGCGCAACTGTCGCTATCGTGCGTCCCTAGAAAGCGTCGGCGGAGGAGCGCGCCGCGCACACCAAGTCGCCAAGTCGCCCAACTGTCGCCACTTTCTCGCGCGCCCTTTGGGAGGAGCTGTCGGAACGACGCGCTGCGCAAACCCGAGCTACACTTCGCGCTCCTTGGGCCTGGGGGGGCTGCCAACCGAACGAAGGTCGCCACGTTCGTGCGCCGTTGGGGGCTCCAGCGGAGCGACGCGCTACGCAAACCCAGGCAAAACCTCGCGCTCCCTAGGAGTGCTGGGGGGGGGGGGGCGGCAAGCGCGCAACCGTCGCCACGTTCGGGGGCTCCTGCGGGACTCCATGAAGCGACGACGATGCTCGCAGAGATGCCGTAGACAGATGGTTCGCCAGCGTGGGCCCCAAACCGTATTTCTAGCATGCGACGTGGTGCACTTTATGCGGTGGCAACTGGCTTTTACAAACAAGCTGACACATTCCATACTCTTGCAAACATCCCACCCACCCACCCGCTACTTGATTTGCAAAACCCACGCGGCGGCGATTGCGACGAGCGCTTGGCGTTGGCTGGTGCATCTCTGCGGCCGCGCCAACCCAAGCACGCGCGCGCATCGGCCAGCTAGTTTGGCGCGGACGGCGCGGCCGCGGTGGCGCTGACCGCTGGGCACATCCCAGCGGGCACCTCACTGCGAATTGGCGACTTGGGCGGGCGCGGTATCGTGGCAACGTCGACAACGGTAGACACGATGATAGTAGCGATAATGGTGACGACGTTGACAACGTGACAGCGACGACAGCGCGGCCAGTGACGGCACCGACGCTGATCACGCCAACGACGATGACGGCGTCCTCGCGTCGGTGATGAAGGTTTTGGAAAGAGATCGGCATGCGCGCGCGAACGACGCGCGAGTGGCCCGCACGGTATAATTTGACACGGACCGTACCCCCGAAAGCGCGCGCGCAAGGGCTTGCGAATGATTTCTACATGCGGCGCGAAAGGCCCGTTTAGCAGATTGCCGTGCACATTTGGAAAACTATGGTTGTCTTAAGGGTTCGCCAGAGCGCAAGCGCAAGCATGTTTGAAATATGATGCTGCGGAACCGTGTGTTTGTATGTGTTTGTGGACACTCGGTTTCGCCATCGCTACCCTTATCGAAGGTCTTTGACGGATTTCGGCATGCGCGCGTGACATCGCGAGCGCGTGCACTTCGTCCCATTCGTTGCTAAGGATTCTCGCGACAGCACGCGCGCGCGGGCGTTCGAACGATTTCGACATGCGCGAGCGCGAAAGCATGTCGGTAGCACTTTATGAACACTGTGGGCAACCAATGGATTCCTTAAGAACATGCAAGGGCGCGAGGCATGAAATGTCGAAAACACGGTTGTTGAACAACCATTCGGTTTTTGTGTAAACAAAAAGTTCTTGTGTTGAAATCGCTATGGGAGCAAAAAGGTGTTGCACGGATTTCGTTTGACGCGCGCGGCGGACGCCGCATGTGACCCGCATGGTATTATTTAGTAGGGGTTCGAAACCACAAACTCATCGTAAATCAAAACTGGTGCACCGCATGGTGTTATTTGACAAGGATGAGGGGGGGATACGGGCTCGCCTGGGGTGGTATGAACTCATAGGAGAAATGAGCAAGGAGGCGCAATCATAGTAACTTACAACACGCGAGGCCGAGTTCATAAGCCAGGGGGTGGAGGTCGGGGTAGAATCTCACTTCCTGTAAGAGAGGAGAATTCAGAGAGGAGGGCTAAGAAGTGCAAGCTATGCGGTGCAACCATGATGGCTCAGTCTATTTGCTTCAAGCTAGCTCCGCTTATGTGGTGAGCAAGGCAAGTGGTGCGATGTCTGCAATGCAATGTGTATGTATCCACAATAGATTCATTTATGTTTGTAGTATTCATTAAATATATTTGTATGCTGCAAGCTATGTGGTACACTCTCGGTGGGGCTGACGTTCTCATATAGGTGGTGTTGCCTATGTGTTCAAAACAATGCTGTGCAATGTGTGTGGTTCACTCCATCGGATGTAAGCTTGGGCGTGAACCATATATGGTGAAGTAAACGTGGTGTGAGCTATGTGGCACAATCTGCGTTGTGACTGTGGATGTTGTAAGCCATGTGGTGTGGTTTAAGGTAGGTGATGCCAACTACAAATGAATGGTGCATTCCGTATGGTGCAAAGCATATTTGTATACAGAAGCTGTTGTACATGCGGCGCCAGATACGCGGCGCAACAAATATGATGCGATAAGTAACATGTGCAGTTATGTATGGTATGAGCCATGTTTTGCAGCCTAGGTGCTGTCAACTAAAGGGTGTGCGCTATGTAGCACACGCACTATAGATGTACGTACATATACATGTGCATACGTGTGTGCATTGTGCACTGTAGTGTGATGAAAGCTATGTGGTGCAATCTGCGCAGTAGATTGCAGTGCAACAGAAGGGGGGTGCGCGGGGGCGGAAGGGACGGGCGGCGACGGACGCGGGCGACGCGCGGCGACGGCGACAACAAGCGCGGCGACCGACACCCGGGCCCACAAACGACAGCGACGGACGGCGGCTACGGGCGGCGACGGCGACAACAAGCCTGCCGGACCGACCCCCAGGCCCTGTCCTCTTTAGACCACGTAAGAGCGCCTAAGTGAATGCACGGTTTGGTGAACCTTTCAACTGCTCTGGATCTTCTCTTTGATGTTTCCATGTGTTGCGTGTGGGCTGTGCACGTCCCTGTGTGCTCTGTATGGTTTTCGCATGCTCCCCCAGCCGACGCTGCCGACCCTGTTTTGGGACGACGATGACGACGACGACGACGACGACGGCCTGCCCAAGATGCCTGCCACCGACGCGCCGCTGGAAGAGTGGCCTCATCCCAGAAGGCCCCCCGAGGCATCCCAGAGGCCCCAAGTAGGAGATCTCCGAGATGCTCGCAGGTTTCGCAGGTTTCGCACCGAGGTCCAGCATGATCAAACTCAAACTAGATCCGAAAGGGGTGGAAGAAAGGCACGCCCGGAGGGACCCCGAAGGGGCTCCCCAAGAGGCCCCAGCCAAACCCGCTGGAGCACCGTTCGGGGATCTTCTGAGCCGGGTCAATCCAAACCCAAGTCAGTCAGGCCTTGCAGACTCTGCAAGATCCTGCGCCCAAGCCCAGGTCAATGCGAAAGATCCTGCAAAATCCTGCAAGATCCTGCAAGATCCTGTACCCAAGCCCGGGTCAATGCGACCCTGGCCCTGCAAAATCCTGCAAGATCGGGCGCTCTGGCTGGGCCCCGTTTGCATTGACCCCCTTCTCAAGGCTCCCGAACAGTGTGTTTTTCGGTGCCGTCTGGTGAACGTCAAAGACGTACGTGTGTCCAATCTGCGTCTGCCTTCTCGCCGTGTCGCTTCCGATGGGCTTAGGATGCCTCCACGTGGCTCCAAGATCGCCCACGAGAGCCCCATGAGGCAGCCATGAGAGTGCCAAGTCGGTCCGACGAGCACCTAAGAGCGCCTCATGAGCGTCCTGAAAGAGAAGGCCCCAAAAGACTCCGAAGAGAGAGGGGGGAAATTGTCACCGCCCGGTCTCTCTTCAAACACAAACATCGAACAACCTGAGCTTGTTGAACGATTGTGGCTTTTCAGGGGCATCAGTCACTGGGAGGCGTTTGGACCAGGATGGTTCCAAGATGGCTCAAGAGCCCGTAAGACGGCCTCCAATGAGGTACAATATAGCCAAAATGTGCTCAAGATGGCTTCCCGCACGCCTGCAAGAATCCCCGAGAGAAAGCCCCCCGACGGCTTCAAGCAGCTTCGAGTCCTCCGGGTGACGCCCCGAAGAGGCCGGCTACAGTAATTCAAACACACACGGTTCTCCTCACGACTTGTCCTTCTCGTTTCCTCCGATCGGCTCCTGAGGTCGCAAGGTTGATCCAATATCGTCCAAGAGATCCCCAAAATGGGTTTAGCTCTAAGCCTGAGAGGCCACCGGATGGCCCCAAGAGGAGGTGCTTCGGGCACCGACGTGGCGACGCCAATCAAGGACCTCCCTTTTCTTTATCGATGGTGTCCTGGATCGGCCCATGAGGGCCCCGAAGGCCCCCAGGAGGGCCCCAAGAGAGCCTCAAGAGAGCCATAAGACTCTTATGGCTCCAAGGGAGCCATAGAGGAATTAGAATCAGTCCCCACATAGCCGCGGTATTGTCCCATCAAGCTTCCAATCGGCTCCCAATCGAAAAGTCTGCGAAGGCACCTCTGGTTGACCTCTGGGTCTATTCAGGCACCGAGCTTCTGTTTGACGGATACCCCCTTCGTTCCACTGCTTGCTCCTATCGCTCCCTGGTCACAACACCTCGCCTGGGCACCATGTTGGATGGGCAGGTGGGGATACTTTTGGTCGCAGCCGTAAGCGAAGGCGAAGGCGGCGTCAAAGGTCGACCCGGGCTACGGGCGGAACCTAATTATGAGAAAAGGTGGGGATACGCGAAGCGTCAAGAATTCGTGCTCTCGCTTCGGCGCCGCGCAGAGCTACACGGGAGGATGGCGCTTTCATTCCAAACTCGTGGAATTTGCCAGTCTGTGCGGTTGGATATACAGTAAAAGTGTCGTCGACCCTGCTTCCAAAAACGAATGGTCTTCCACCTTCCACGCCCAACAGACTCTCACAATTACAGCTTGCGCTCGTCGCCGTGAGCAGGAATACGCAGAATACGCACTTGCCTCGACTTCCCTGGGTTGGCTTTGGACGTGAGGAGATATTGCAACATCGGCCGTATGCTGGGCTTGCTCTCTTGGTGATCCTCCTCCTCCAACTCATCCTCCTGCTGCTCCTCATCCTTCCCGCCTCCCTCTCCTTTACCCCCTCCTGCTCCTCCTCGCCCTCATCCACCTCGTCCTCGTCGTTGTCGATATTGTCCTCCTCCTTCTCCGCATCCTCCTCCACATCCTTACATCCCCCTGTTGCTGGCCCTACTCCTTTTGCGTTGCTTCGATCCTTGTGACGCAGCGTCTGCCTGCTCCTCCTCCTACCCCCTCGGAGCCACTGTCCGCCCCCCGCGGTGCTCGAGGACACGCTTCCTGCCCTCTGGGGATGGGCGCCTGGTGCCGCCGATGACCGCCCAGAGGCACTCGCAGGCAAAAAGCCGGCAAAGCCCGGAGGGCGAGGGGGCGGAAGGGGCAGGGACGGAGAGGAAAGGGAGCAACTGCGGGGCTAGGATGGGGAGAGAGGAGGGGGGATCAGCTGGGTGCGCTCGCGCCACCTCTGGCATCTGACCCCTCCCGCCGCTCCTTTCCTATTGCCCTGGCGTTCCTATCTTCGCTGGCGGGTGTCATAGCGCATGTGGAACCCCGCAGATGAACCCAATCGCGCTGTGCGCAAGAAACAAGGAGAGCTGTGTAAGTACATTGGAGGAGGTGGAGGTGGCGAATGAGCAGGAGGATGGGCAGGAGGATGAAGAAAGAGGGGGAAACGATACCCAACAGAGCAATTCCAGGCCTAGTCGCGCTGCCGGGCAACAGTCAGGGCACTGGCGTGCAGGTTGTAGTCGTTGTCTTCGGTCTCGTGGCGGATGATGTTGTGCAGGTGGTGCATCACAGCTATGCGCAATGCAGCTAGATGAAGCTCATCATCATCGACTTGTTCACCAAGAGGCCCGAGGACGAGTCGTACAACCAGTCGTGATGAAGGGAACCACCGCGGAAAGAGACGAAATGTCAAGCCCAGGGACATCGGAAGTCATGGCATATGTAACCCTCGGCCGGGCAACCGAACCTGCACGTGAGGCGTTCGTCCAATACGTGCACTCGGTGGCTTGTAGCCCATGCCAAGCCAAGGTTCTCACTACTGCCCAGCACACCCCAGGCTTCAGGGTAGCGAGAGTGACGCGTATCGCCGCGCGCGCACCGTTTTGCCATTCTTGCTCTGCTATTTCTCCAACATGTTGCCGATGGCCGGGTGGAAATAACTGCCGTGGAGCTGGGCCATTGACTGGTCGATCGCCTTCTGGATGGGCACTCCGTGGTGTCTCCGGGAACGGCTCGCGTGCCGCTCGAGTTCCCGCTGGACCCTGTTGAAAGTCGCTGCAGCGCGAACCCCCCCGTACGATGACGAAATCGAGCGTGAGGGCGCGCCGAGAGGCGGTCATCGAACGTCTGGCCCGTAGGCTGCTGTTCCTTCCAAAACGGGGGAGATCACAGTCCCTGTGCCGCCCGCGTCGGCAATCGATCGGACAAGGGAAGAGAGTCGGAATCGGAATCGAGCTCTGGGGGCACTAGGTTCGCTTGTTCGTGTGATATGCCCGGGCAACTCCATGGCTGGACTCGTCAATTTGTAACATTCAGATTGAGGCCTGTCTTTGCCCGGAGGACCCATCAAGAAACTTCTGGAAGGCCGCTTGTGCAGACAGGAACACTGCACAGGCGGTCTGAAGCACATTCGTTTGCCGACTGAGCTGGGGGGCCTCCCCGCACCATCACAAGCACGTGATTCTTAGGCTGAAGGGCGGGGCGAGCCACCCCGCCCTGGACGGTGGGGACACAGTGGCCGCTCCCACCATCCAGGGCACAACTGGCTCGATTCCTACATCCAGCCTCAGACCTCCAAAAACAACGAGAAGGTTAATGCTCAAAGCTTGGGTTCAGGGGGGCGGGTGAGTTTGGCTCCCAGCAGAAGGCTCAGCGGCCCGAGAAACACCACGGCCACTCACCCACCCCCCTTTACCCTTCCCTCTCTTCCGCCTCTCGGGCGGCTGCAAACTCCAGCTGCTGGCTGCCGCCTCTGGGTGTCGGAGCGCGGTCTCCAGCGTGACAACTCCTCGCTTTAGCATCTGCAAGAGCCGATGGGAGAACTGCGCAATCTGCGCACGCTGAATGGCCGTCAGCCTCGGCAACAGTGCGCGTTCTACTGCTTCTTCTTGCTGCCCGTCGGCGTACCCTCGAGCACCTCGAGGACGCCCTGCGCCGCCCGCCCCAGGCGGGCCCCTGGGAGCTGGGCCGTGCTACTTGGCGCCGCCGCCTTGCGCCAGCGCCGCCATGATCGCCGTCTGCACCGTGCCGAACTCCGTGCGCATCGCAGTCATGACTTTCGCCTGGTCTGATTTACCGCCCTTGACTCTGGCTGCGGTGCACTCGCAGTCCATCACTTTGCCCGGCAGGTCGATTGGTGTCTTGCCCTCCGCCGCCACCTCCTTCGCCCAGAATTCCGCCAGGCATTGCTTGTTGGTCGGCTCGGGCTCGATCTGGGTCTTCGACAAGCCCAGCATGAGGCCCGCGAATCTGCGTGCGTGCGACCGCCCAAGGCGTCCTTGAGCGGGAGGTCTCCTTTTGTCGTCTTGGTGGCCTCGTGGCAGGACTTGCCTCGGGCCATCATCTCGACTGCGATGTGCGACTTTGCGTCGGCGAACACCGCGTTCCACGGCATGCCTGTGGTGTCCCTGATCCTGGCCGCGTTCGTCAAACTGAGCTTTGCGAGAACGATGGGCAACTTCTTGACTGTGCTGACGTGCTCTCCTTTTGCGAGCAACTCTTGGACCTGCACCTTGCGAGCTGGCCCGTCTGAGCCTGAGCTGGATCCGGCACCTCTCTGCAGGCCCCAGGCAGGGGCGGCTGCGGCAAAGGAAATTGCGGGGTCGACATGGCCGCGTCGGCACCAGCTCCGATCATATTTTGAACGGCGGCACGCGAGGCCCCAAATTCACGCAGATGACAGTCTACCCGGTCAGGATGCAGTCGCCCCCCCGATGCGTCTCGAGCGATCAATGCAATGTCCATATCTGGCCACGCTCGATAGCAGATGTCGCTGCGCAGTCTTCGCGCATGCGAATGCGACAAGGCAGAATGGGCGCACGCTCGTAGTAACTATTCTAGCCCGAAGATCACGCTGTCCATGTTTGGCCACCCTATGCTGTCTAACTGCCTTATATGTGTCAAAGCAAGCTGTGCACGTTTTCCAATAAGACCCACGTGTCCATCGTCCTTCACCTGCGTGTGTAGTAGCAGTAGTAGTTGCTTGAGGAGTCAGCTGACATGGGTGCCATTCTGGCGGCGGTACTGCTGTCATGTATTCTCCTTTCCGTAATGCTGTGAAGTCTTGGTTACTAAACTCCTCCATCACCGCCTCATCGGTAAACGCCTGTGCCGGAGGGCGCCGCGCCCGCATCTCGAGGCTCGCGGGTGCCATTCGCCGCTGCTCCAGTACTTGTGCTGCGCTGTGTGCGCGACGTTGTTGTCCAGTGTCTGTTTCTCGTAATTCGTGCGCAGCTCCTCTCATCGATCCCCTAGCGCACCGTGCTACTAAATGATCTAATTCGTTCTGCTGGTGCTTGGGGCAAATATAGGTTCCACTAAGAGTGCAGTGCAGTGTTTTGTACGCAGCACATTAGGAGCGCGCGCTTCGCCCTCCGCGGAGCGTGCTTCAAACACCAAAAAGCTCCTGATGAGTAACCAGCCGCCGCCACTGCCTTCTTGCGGTGCGCATACTCAACTGCGTAGCTAAAATTAGCTCCTATTCGTCCTCCTAGATATCTGGCGCGGGCACAGTGCGGGGCGGGATGGGCGACCCTTTGCATCCTGAGATCACGCGCGTAGGTCCCCGACCCAGGCCCCGAAAGAACAGGGGTGATTTCTTGCTTGCTCATATTCTGCTAGTGGCCGGTTTCGGCCAGAGCCTGATCCACGAGGACATTAGCTCGCTCGCTCATCTAAGCAAGATCCTGGATCCCTTGGCGCGGCCCCCCGATCAAAAACTTCAAAATGTTGTCGGCATGCAAGCTGAATGACGCATCTACGGCTCTATCCAAGAATGAATGCAGGGTAACCAACTCCCCCGTCACCAAGCCCTCCCGCTCGAGCCGCTCTCCCCGATCCTGGATAGCTGTCTGGAAACTCCGGGCGGACTGTCGCGCGATATACGGGCCCCCATCATGCCCCCGCACCCTGGTAAACGTGGCCCTCTTCGCACTGACAAGTCACTGCGGTTTATTCGAAACGCCGGCAGCCTGGACGCGCGAGGCCGTCCTCCATCAGCCCCACTGCAGCAGCCGGCATGTCTGCCCACTTCGCACTCGCAAGCGCATCCGTGACATCATGTAGGTGCAACGGCCGAAGTCGGCCCGCTCTGCGAATGGGGCACGTCATGATGAGGGAATTGGCAATGGCATTCTCCTTGCATCCGCGGGGCAAAACAACCTATCACCTGGGGTGGCATCTCTGGGGGTCGTGGAGCGGGTGGAACACCGGCCCTTACCGAGCGAGGGAGGAGGTGGATCGTTCGAACCCCGAGGCCGCCCCCCAAAGGTGGCGCCCTCGGTTTTCAGTGCCCAAGAGACCCCCCATGCTGGAGTGCCAGCATGCAGGGGTGCGCAGACTGGTTATAATTCTGAGACAGGCACCCCCGAGGCGAGATCTGCAAACTGGCGCGTCTAGCTCGGGTTCTGGGGGCCCCAAACTACGATCGCTGTCCGAGGCGACCGATGGCGGGACCACAAAAATAGCTAGCAGCTCAACAGGGGCGGCCCAACTCGGCACAGACTTTCTCTTGGGAGCTCTTAAAACCAATTTCTCAAGTTTGCAAACATCCGACTTGGCTTTCTTCTCAATTGCCCATTCAGGGGACTGGTCGCGTCATGGGTTAAATCTTCATCAACTCGGGCTCGGGCAAGCTTTATCCAGGACGGGATGAGCGCAGCCTGCGTGCCTCCTTCGCATCCTGGGAGCGATAGCTGGTCGAGCCATTCCTCCTCTGTCGGTGGTCCGACCTGCGCGGCAAGATAGGGGTCCCGCTCAGTGCCAAACTTGCTACCTGCTGCGCGCCGTGCGAGGCTACATACACCATTTTTTTTCTCCTGCGCTGCTCCCACATACCATTGATAGTTATATATTGAAATAGCTTCAAATCCAATGTCCGCTCCCGCTTCATATGTCGAGACAGGGCTCTCAATTCGTCTGAAACCCGTCGTTCTTCATCTGGGAGTTCAGCAGCATCTGGTTCTTGACTGGCGTCGAGACCATGATTCACCGCCAGACCTCTGACGCTACCCAATGCAACTCGAAGTTCTTGGCGCTGTCGTAGCAATTGCCGACGGTGTATTCGCAGAGCAGCATATCTCGGATCCTCTTGCTGTTCAGCAGTGAAGTGCTCTTCTCCCATATCCATCATCACTCCCTCGAGTTCTTCCCACAAAGCATCGGGCAGTGCCCTAAACGCCAGGTCCCTCATCAGCTCCTCATCCTGCTGCAGTGGTTCTTCCACGGCTAGAATGCAATCATCGCGCGCCGCTGAACCGTGGAATGCCTCGAGCATTTTGTCCCTGTCTCATGTTGTACGTGTCGTCTGTCTCTGCGTCGTAGTCCAGGCAGGTAGTTGGACTTGTACGTGCAGGAGCATATGGTCTCGTCGTACTCTGGTGCCGATCCACTGTAGTCGTCGCGATAGCTGCGCGAGCGTCCCTGCACTGCTACATCCCTGGCTCGTCTGTACACACATATAGTCAATACGGGTCTCCACACCGCTCGCTCCATGCCACGCAGATTGACCAAGATCTGCACTTCTGGCCGTCATACGATGGCACTCAAGCAGCTCGCGTAGTAACTGCCCCGCCAAGTGTTCAGTCCGCGCCCCCATCTCTCCAATAGCTTGTGTTGGAATGCTCATACAGCTCGGTGGTGGTGCAATCCCCATGCCACCATTCAAGCCCGCACATCATATGGGAACGGTCCTGCTCGGTGTTTTGCCCAGTACATCTGCGATCCAGTCGATGAGGCCCCGCACCGTGCGGTCATACTTGGCTCCCTTCTCCGTTGTCTTCACCCCCGGCGGGAATTAGCCACCAATGAATGTAACATCGTAAGCACGTGATGTCACTCTGACTGCAAGGTCGCGGCCACCAAGGGCATGTCCTGGAACTGTGATGCGTCGGAGATGTCGCTGTTTTATGTTGCATCCAAACGTCATAGTTACACACGCAGAGCTGATTGTCTGTATGCTGGCCAATGCACCATCCACCTTCCACCTGTCATCTTCGTCCAAGTTGGGCTCGCTGTGTCGTGCCAACAAGTGTAATACAATCGAATGTCTCGCACGCCAGATTAATATCTTCCTGTCACTCACGGCGACAGGCTGAGAGAGGATTGGGATGCCCACATCGCCATATGGGTGGTAGTAGTTGTGGTGGCGTCGCAGGTGCTCCCATCTCCCTCGAGCATTTCTCCGACCTCAGCTGACAGCATACCTCCGCGGCCATGATGGCCACAAGCAGCCTGTGTTGCGACATCAGACCTGGCAGGTCATGAAAAACATGCCGTGAGGTCTATGGCCGCCCTGCATTTGCTTAAGCCGTGGCGGCGGCTGAAGGAAGAGAAGGAGGAGGGAAAGGAACAGGAGTAGTAGTAGTAGTAGTAGCAGCAGCAGCAGTAGTAGTAGTAGTAGTAGTCGTAGTAGTAAGTAGTAGTAGTAGTAGTAGTAGTAGTAGTAGTAGTAGTAGTAGTAGTAGTAGTAGTAGTAGTAGTAGTAGTAGTAGTAGTAGTAGTAGTAGTAGTAGTAGTAGTAGTAGTAGTAGTAGTAGTAGTAGTAGTAGTAGTAGTAGTAGTAGTAGTAGTAGTAGTAGTAGTAGTAGTAGTAGTAATAGTAGTAGTAGTGGTAGTGGTAGTGGTAGTAGTAGTAGTAGTAGTAGTAGTAGTAGTAGGAGGAGGAGAAGGAGGAGGAGGAGGAGGAGGATAAGAAAGAGGAGCAGTAGGAACAGCGGCGATAGCAAGAGCAGGGGAGGACAGGGAGGAGCTGGAGGGCAAAGGGAAAATGGAAGACAGGAAACGGGGACGACAGCGTTGACGGACTCCGATCCAGCAGACAGGCCCGTTCTGTGGAAGCGCCGACCATGAAATGACACTAACGCTTAAGCGAAAACAAGGTTTTGCAGCAACGGACACAAACGCTCCGATGTGTGAAATACTCAAGTTGACATCCTATGTGCTAGAAGCTCAAAAAAAAACATGCGGGATAACAGCTGCCCCGCTCGGGCAGGATCTGGGGAGAGAGGGGGGTGGTGTGCATATGGACAAGCAAGGGTGGAAAGGAACGAAGGGAGGGGAGCAGGAAGAGGATGAGACGTAGAGGGGCAGGGAGAGAAGGAGGGAAGGATTACGAGGAGGGGGAGGAGGAGGAGGAGGAGGAGGAGGAGGAGGAGGAGGAGGCTAAGGAGGAAGAGGAGGAGGAGGAAGAGGAGTGAACTCGTCACTGAGGGAAGCTCCAGAATCACCACCTACACCAACAGAGCAGACATGCGGGTCTCGTCGCACCGCCGCAACAACTACATATGCAGTGCACGCAGAGAACACGACGGATGAACTCTACACCAAGTACGGGCACCGCATCGGAAACAACACTTGGCGACACACTGTTCCAGAGCCTGGGGATTCACACTTGGATTCACACTTGAAGTGAACTGTCTTGATCCGCGCGGCAGAAAGGGGCCGAGGGAAGGGGGGACGGAAGAGGAGATGAGGAGGATGAGAAGGATGAGGTGGAGGAGGAGGAGGAAGAACGCAGCTCAGCCTTCTCCTGAACGTCTCAGGAAGACCTCGCTGGGCCTCACACCTCGTTCCCAATCGGCAGCAGCCGCAGACCTCGTGACGTGGGTACACGTCGTTCATTTCTAATCGTGCTCATCTCTAATTGTGCTCGTTTCTAGTTGTTCCTGGCCCCCTAGTGGCCAGGAAGAGGCCCACGATAGAAGAATCAGAAATGAAAGGACCTTGGCAACCATCCAAAAAATCAAAGAACTCTCGAATAATTGGAAATGGAGAATGGGTGCGCCCCGCAAGCGCCGGGACGGTGCCGCGCCCGCGGCCCGCAAGCGCCGGGACGGTGCCCACCCCGATGCCATGCCGCGGCGAGAAGGTGCGGGCGTCCGCTCGGCCTCGAGGGCCCCCCCCAGCCTGCGGCAGCCTTCTGTGGCGGCCTGCTGCCCGCAGCGCGGGGCCGCATCGCCGACCTCAGCCGCGCCCCCCTGCAGGGCGCCTTCCGTTAGGACTGCCTACCGGGCCACCCCAGCCCACCTCGAAGACCCGAAGTTGACCCGGATCTCGGGCTGGGGGGGGGGGGGGGGCGAGCTCCATGTACCTTTTCAGTGTTCCCCGACCCCCCCACACTGGAAACGGAGGGCAAATCGGGGCCTTCGGGTTGGCCTTGGGTGGTTTGGAAAAGGCGCCTTCCATGTGCGGCTCCTGCGCTGGGCCGACTTCCACCTGCGGCGGCCAGGGGTGCTCCTGGTGCTCCTGCGCATCCTCGGAGCCCACTGCGAAAACCGCGCAACGCTAAACTGCACACGTGGCCGCACTCGCAGCCAGAGTTTCCGGAGGGGGAGCTGATGCTGCACGCGAAGCTGCAAGCGAAGTCATCGCGCGCGAAGCCGATGGTGCGTCAGAACATGTGGATTCCTTAGATGCGGTTGGACATGTTCCAGATGTTGCATGCACTGGGGAAGCCACCGACGGCGCACCGACAGCAGCAGGGGCAGTGGACAGTGGCGACGCTCTCATCTCCGGTGGTGCTCAACTCCAGAATGTCGCAGAAAGTGCCCTTGAATGCCAGACACGACTCGCCCAGCTCGTTCAGCACGCTGTCGTAGAAACAACACGAGGAAGCAACCACGATGTGACGGATAATGTTGTGGGCATGATTGAGCCAGATCAGCTTGATGTTCGTGCTGTTAGAGATTCGCCGTTGACGATACAATTCGCGCGCAACTTAAGATATCCCCTCAAAATATTCCGCGAGGAAGACGGCACACCTGCGCATCAGCGTCCCGTGAAGTTCGCTGACAAGCTGGTGCGTCGGCAGCTCGGTAGCAGGCAGTGACATGAACGACGAGGCCGACAAGTCTGAAAGTGAAAGCAAAACTGCAAAGCCGCCTTGAGCCCAAAATGGCTACGTAGAGGAGAGGGAGGACGAGGGAAGGAGGCGGAGGAGGAGGAGGAATAGGAAAGGCAGAGAGAAGGAGGGATGCATATAAAAAGGACGTAGGGGTCCCTATCCCTCCTTCTGTTCATCAACGTTCCTTTCCAAATGGGCGAGGGGGGGGGCTGAGGTGGGGGAAAGGATGGGGGAGGGAGGCAAAATAACAGAAAGGAACAGGAGGACGGGAACGGGGAAGAGGAATCATCGGGAAGGAGGGACCAGGCAGGAGGCGGGATGGAGGAGAGAGGGGGAAGGATGGAAGTGGGAAGGGCGGAGGTAGCAGCAGGCTGAAGCACGACGTGGGACGCCGGAGGGAGGAGCAACGCGAGAGGAGGAGCGAAGCACCAGCGGTGGAGGAGAAGGGGAATGAAGGGGGGGGCATGGTGGGGGCAGAGCGGAGAGAGAGAGAGAGAGAGAGACGGGACGCGGGATGGAGGGGGAGAAGGCAGGCGGCGGGAGCGAGGGGCACGGAAGGAGTGGGGGAGGAGGGGCGGGGAACTGTGGGGGGGTGGGGTGACATAGGGCGAAGGGGGAGGGAAGGAGGGAGGGAAGGGGGGATCGGGCGCAAGGGGGGAGTGAGGGAGGCGCGGGGGAGATAGGACACGGAAGGGATGGGGCAGAGGGGGCAGGAGGCCGGAGCGAAGCGGCGGGGCGAAGGATTGCGGGGGAGGGCAGGAAGGAAGGACGAAGCCAGGCCGACGGGGAAGGCCGGGAGAGGGAATGGGCTGATGAAAGAGGCCCGTGTCTCTGTGGCCGCGGCCCCGCAGCCACTTCCCGACGCGTGGTTGAAGGAATCCAAGGTCAGCTCCAATACGCCCCCGGCAACCACGATGAGATCCAGCCAGTTGAAGCATACCTGCATGCCCTCCTGTCCTTCACGCTCGCGCTCGCCCCCTTCCTCCTCCCTGCCCGCCCCTCCTCTCCCTCCTGATGGATCGTGCCCTCCTCCTCTCCCTCCGCCTAGGACTGGGGGGAGGGCCTCCGGTACCCGAGTAGCACACGGCAGGCCAACGCGCAGGAGCGCAGCGGAGAGACAGCATGAGGGGACGGTCAACGGGTTGGGCTAAGGCCAGGGGGGGTCGGGTGGCGGCAGGGGGGTGGGAAAGATATCGGAGAAGGCGAAGGGGAAGCACTGGACTGGGGTGGGTGGGTGGGGTGGGGGGTCAATGGGGAGAGAGAGAGAGAGAGGGAGAGAGAGAGACAGAGAGAGGGGACTCACGATGCTCAAACAATGGATATACATATGCTATTTCAAGCACCCACGCCAAAGAGCTTCACTATGTCCATCGCGAGTGTCTGCTGTATGTTATTGTTGTGGGGTTTGCGGTACGGTATTGGTGTATATGTATGATGTTTACCAACGGGGAATGTTAGTGATGTGTGTGTCCTTGGCGTGTGCAGCAAAGGATTCGTGTGCATGGTCTTCACGTCTGCCAGTGACGGCTGGAATTCATGATTACCCTCGTCGTACTATCTGGAATGAGGTTATTGCTGGACCCTCGTGATGAAGATGCTGAATGTGCGCCCGTGGTGTCGTTGATTTTGCACTGTTGTTTGCTACTCAGGTATCTGCCGGTGAATGGTAATGATGTATGTGTTTGGTGTGCCTTACGTGTGTGTGTATACTTCTGGTGTAAGTTAGTGGTGTCTGCGAATGGTGTATCCCACTGCTGTGCGTAGAATTGTTGTAGAATTGTTGCTTGTGTGTTACGTGTGTCTATGTTATTGGAGGCGAATCATGTTTTACACGATTGATGTACATGCTTGGTGCATGCTGTAGATGTCGCTGCTGTATGATATTGGCGTATGGTTGCCATGTGTGTGTGTGTGCTCGGTGCATGTTACGGATGATTGGTCATGAAAACTGTTCGTCGTATGTGCTCTTACGATATGCCGTGGGTGTCTCGGATGTTGAAAGGTGATTGCTGTGTGTTGCTGATGTGCGTGGGTGTTGCTTGGTCTTGATGTACCTTGCCAGGGTATGGCGTGTCATGTGTTCTCGACGATTGTGTTGGCATATGCTATACAAGTATGTCCTTGCTGTACGCTCTTGACGCCGATGCTTACGTATGGTACTGGTGCTGGCTCTTGGTGTGTGCGTGTGTGCTTGTGTGTTCGTGGTGTTTATTCTTCAGGTACGTACTTGAAGTTGTGTTCTTGATCTCCGTTGTGTTTTTTCATCGGAGATTTGCGGATTGTGGCCGACGCGGAACATGAGATGATCCAACAGGGGTTCGTTTCGCCTCATGGGTGAAGCGCGTGCGGGCGAGGTGAGGCGAAGGTCCACGAATCTTTCCTTGGCCAGGGTCAGTGGCGGGATGGCCGAAGGCCATTATATACCATATACCTAATTACAAGATAAGTAGAGATAAAGAAACCATGGATACAATGATACAGATAATAGACTGGTGGGTAGATGCATGGACAGATAGACATATAGACAGATAGGTCGATGGGTAGATTAACCTCCATCCTGATGTTCCGCAGCGTGTCCACTCGCACTTGTGCCTCCAATGCAAGTCGAAGGTGACGTCAACCCCTCCGAACACACCTTCGCACCCGAGGGGTGGTCTATGAGATATCCGCTTGGCGTCTGCTTTCAGTGTCGGTTCTCGATGCCTGGCCTTGCTGCGTGCTGTCGCGTGCGTGGCGCGAAGCGGGCCTCCCGCCGCCCGCAGCAGTCGCGGCCCCCGTGGTGAAGCGCCCCGCCGCACGCCCAACTCCTTCATGAGCCGCGAGGGGAGCTCCACGGGCGGCCTCGACGGCACCCCCTTGGAGCTCTACACTCGGCTGCGTACCCAGCATTGGCGAGGCGGCGACGCACCAAGGGGCGCATGCGACATCAACGCTTGAGCTGAGTGGGTACCGATAGCGGGAGGAGCAGGAGGAGCAGGAGCAGGAGGAGGAGGAGAAGGAGGAGGAGGAAGGGAGAGGAGGAGGAGCAGGAGGAGGCAGAAGGAGGGCGCAGGAAGAGGAGATGGAGGAGGATCCTCCGGTCTCCCTCTTCCTGCCTCCTGCCTCCTCCTCCTCCCCTGCATGCCCCCACCTCCCTCGACCCTCCCACCTCCTCCTCTTCCTCGTGCTCCTCCCTCTCCTCCTACCACGGCGCTGCGGTTCATCGACAAGCCCGCCAACCGGATCCCCCGTCTCCCCCCTCCGCCCTCCTATGCTGCCCTGGAAGCGGGGCCGCGCGCGAGCGCCGTCCGCTTGCGAGGTGGGAACGCGCTCCAATCCCAGCATCAAGTTGTGCCACACTTGGTTCTCGTGCTTCGGCAGGGAGGGCGGGCATGGGCGGGGCTCTCTGACTCGCTCGGCCTGGCGAGATTGCCCCTCGTGCACTGCCGCCTCCCCATACTTGCCCCCGACGTCGTGGTTTGTTCCAGTCGCGGTCGGTCTGAGGTCTCGACCCCTGTACTGGGGCCGCGGCTTTCATCCAGGGTCGTTCTTGATTGGGAGGCGCAGATACATATTACATATTAGTACTAAATGTTCTCCTTGGAGGCGCGCGTCCGACTCGAACACATAGTATACCCATCTTGTAGTACATCGTTTCCCGAGCGGTGTGGCCAGAAAGCGCCCGCCACGACGCATATACAATCAGACTTCTCGGTGCGCGAGTCGCCCCTGGGGGGGGGGCGACGCACAAAAAGTAGAAGTATGTTGGGGTGATGCCGATCGCTGATGGTCCCCCCTGGCCCCCCGGAGACCTACCAACTGCCAAAACCTGTCGGCCGCGCCTGCTGCTGAAGGGGCCCAGGGACACACAAATAAATACGCAAATCCCAGGATTACCCATATTTGCTATTTTTTCTATTTTCGTCTTCCCCCCCACTTCCCATATTTTCCCAGATTTTATGGGAAATCGACGATTCATTGTGTCTGTGTGTTTTGTATTTTCTCCCTCCGGACTGCTTCACGATGAGACAAGAGGAGGCCATGGGTCCCAACCCCCTCGCGCCCCTCAACAAAAAAAGCACTCGGCGCCCCGACGTGGTCAGCGGTGCGTCCTGGCCAGGATGTTTTCAAGCAGGGGCGCCCAGCCGCGGCGGCGAGAAGCCCCCCGGGGGCCTGGCTCGAAAGCGCAGAACAAGCATGAACAGCCATGACAGTAGAGGGACAAAACTCCATACACAGAAACTTTTGGCGCTCCGCGCGGATGCCTCGGGTCTGCGCTGGAACCTCCTCCATGGCGCGCGGAGCGCGCCAGAGGCGCCGCCGGGGGCGCCGCCAGGGGGCCCCAGCTCAGATTCAAGAAATTCGCGCGGATCGCAAAAAGTTTGTATGTTTATAGAGTTGTTTCTTCTTCGTCTTCTTCTTCTTCGACATGATCCTCGAGCCTCGACGCCCCCCACCTCCCCCGAGGCCTGCAGGTACCAGCCGCGCAGGAACTCGTCCTGGCATGGGGCGGCGGGGAGGGGAAAAGCGGCCAGTGCCCGCACCTTCCAAGAAGGGATGGTGCCCTTTGGCATGGACCCCTTCATAAGAAGGGCGCGAGGGGCGAGGAGGCCTCGCCCAGTGCAGACTCCACCCAGAAGCCCGTCCCAATCCCTACCCCCCCCCCCCTGCTCCTCCTCCTCCTCCTCCTCCTCCCCCCCCTCCCCCCTCCTCCCTCCTCCTCCTCCTCCTCCTCCTCTCCTCCTCCTCCTCCTCCTCCTCCTCCTCCTCCTCCTCCTCCTCGCTGCCCCCGCCGCGGTTTAGCCTAAACTGACGCCGGGTGACTCACCTGACGCCGACCCCGCCGGCTCGCGCCCATCACGCACAGAACTCAAAGCGGCTCTTGGCGCCAACCGCTTGGCAAACCCAGGCCGCGACGGCAGCACTGGACAGCTCGCCACTTGGCAAAGTCCAGAAACCTGGAACCCCGGAGTTCCAGGCCTCCCAGATGGGGCCCGAGTAAATGGGGTCGGTGGATCGCGCCGCATCGCCGGCGCATCGGGGATGCAACTCGATGTGGAGCCCGACTTCCTTCGCGCCTGCGTCGCCGACGCCGACGTCGCCAATGCATCGTCGATGCATCGGCGATGTATCAGCGATGCGGCGCGATCTGCCGATCCCATCTACTCGGACCCCATCCGGGAGACCTGGAGGAGAGGATGAGGGTGAGGATGAGGAGGAGGAGGAGTAGGAGGAGGAGGAGGAAGAGGAGGAGGAGGCGAAGGCGAAGGAGGAGGCGGAGGGAGGAGGAGGCGGAGGGAGGAGGAGGGAGGAGGAGGGAGGAGGCGGGAGGAGGAGGAGGGGGGAGGAGGAGGAGGAGGAGGGAGGAGGAGGGAGGAGGGAGGAGGAGGAGGGGAGGAGGAGGAGGGAGGAGGAGGAGGAGGAGGAGGAGGAGGAGGAGGAGGAGGAGGAGGAAGAGGAGCAGGGAGGAGGAGGGAGAGGAGGATGAGGAGGAGGAGGAGGAGGGAGGAGAGGAGGAGGAGGAGGAGGAGGAGGAGGAGGAGGAGGAGAGGAGGGAGGAGGAGGAGGAGGAGGAGAGGAGGAGGGAGGAGGAAGAAAAGAGGAGGAGGAGGAGGAGGAGGAGGAGGAGGAGGAGGAGGAGGAGGAGGAGGAGGGAGGAGGAGGAGGAGGAGGAGGCGTCAGCGCCCACGGGCCCGCCGCCGCGCCGCTTCTGCCGACTTTCCCCCGAGGGCGCGGCGCGCCGAAGGCGAGGACCCCCTGGCTCTGGAGCCGGGAGGCCTCTGCGGGGCCCCGGCCCCTCGACGGGCCCCGCTGCTTCAAACCCTGCTGGGATCACCGTGGAGGGTGCTGCGTGTTGGTCGGGCATGTCCCCCGTACAGGCCGATTTGGGATGAAAAATAAGGAACACCTCGAACAATGCACAGCAATGCGCAAGAATAGTGAAAAACATCCTCCCCAAGCAACTGTTTGCGA